TGTCTAATAATATTTTATTTATATTTAATATGAATTTAGATGATATAAAACATTTAGAATATTTTAAATGTGTTCCAGAATTTTATAGAGAAGTAATAAAGTCCTGGATTTTGACTGGGGTGGGCAAACAAAACAACCAGTTACATATATTGATGTAAGAAATCAAACAATATGGGGGAATAAATTTATTACATTTCATAATAAACCAATTATCTTTGAAAACTGGTTTAAGAGTGATATAATACACTTAAATGACATTCTGGATGACACTATGTCATTATCAGAAAAATATATTTTAAACAAATTAAAGTGTAAGGTAAACTGGATTGCTGAATTTCATTAATTGAAACAATCCATTCCACAAAATTGGATTGACATAGTTAAACAAGAAAATTCTGTTCAAAGTACAGTAAATGTCAAGAGAAATAAGATCACATGGGAAGATCGTTATTTTGAGACTACATGTTTTTCAAATAAAATGTTATATGATTCGCCAGTGAATAACAAAAAAGAACCGTCAGTAGGGACAGGTGGCTTAAAATTCTGGTAATGCAAGAAGCTCCAAATATGAATTCATTATATAACTTTATTTTTAAATATTTAACTGAAAATAAATTAAAAATATACAGATCGAAATTACTAGTTTATTGTACCAACAAAAAAGCTTTTATTACAATGGAAAATAACTTATAATAGTATGTGTAATTTTTGTAACATAGAAGGAGACTATGCTCATTATTTTTTCAATTGTTCTTATTTGACAAGATTTTGGCAACAAATATACGACCTCTTAAAAAGGAGTAATTTAGATTTTTTTAATAAAATTACAACACCTGATATTTGAATACAAAATCACAGACAACAAGTATTACTCAATATTTTTATTGATTACAATACATATGTTTCAATATATAAGTCGCACTATGTATCTGAGCAGAAAACAAAAAACATAGTAGTCTACAGAATTTTTGTCAATGAATACACCAAGATAGATACCAATATTAATGGACATAAGACAATAAGTTCAATGTTACTTACATTTAAAAGGAACATAATCAATGCATAATTTTTCTAGTATTGTTATTATAGTGTTTTGTAAACAAAATCTATGTCAATAAATCTAATCAGCTGATTATTCCCTGGGTAATTAGTGGATTGTAACAGGGTACGTCAATCTTGATGGTTAATGTAACAAGCAATATTTGGTGAATAAAATTATTATGTTGTTAAAAAACTAGAGGCTCCAGAGAGCCTGTGTCGCCTACCTGTATTTACTGATGCTTTGCAAAATTTCTGTAAAATTACTAACTCAGGGGCAGCAACCCAACAACGGGTTGTCGACTTCGTCTGAAAATTTCAGGGCAGATAAATCTAAATCTGATCAGATTTGCTCTAAATGCTTTAGTTTCAGAGATATAAACCAAAAACTGGATTTACCCCTATGTTCTATTTTTAACCATGTCGACCATGATGGTTGGAAGGCGGGGGTCATCGGACAAATTTTTTAAACTAAATACCCTAATAATGATTAAGACCAAGTATGGTTAAATTTGTCTCAGTAGTTTCAGAGAAGAAGATTTTTGTAAAAGATTACAAAAATTTACGAAAAATTGTTAAAAATTTACTATACATGGCAATAACTCCTAAAGGAATCGACTGACAATTTTGGTCATGACGACTTATTTGTAGATCTTACTTTGCTGAACATTATTGCTGTTTACAGTTTATCTCTATCTATAATAATATTCAAGATAATAACCAAAACCTGCAAAATTTCCTTAAAATTACCAATTTAGGGGCAGCAACCCAACAACGGGTTGTCAAATTTCAAGGCAGATAGATCTTGACCTGATAATCAGTTTTACCCTATATCAGATATACTCTAAATGCTTTGGTTTCAGAGATATAAGCCAAAATCTACATTTTACCCCTATGTTCTATTTTTAGCCATGGCGGCCATCTTGGTTGGTTGGCGGGGTCATCGGACACATTTTTTAAACTAAATACCCTAATGATGATTGTGGCCAAGTTTGGTTAAATTTGGCCCAGTGGTTTCAGAGGAGATTTTTATAAAAGCTAACGACCACGGACGACGACGACGGACGACGGATGCCAAGTGATGAGAAAAGCTCACTTGGCCCTTCGGGCCAGGTGAGCTAAAAGCAAAATGAAAAGCAATTGTCATATTCCTGATTTGATACAGGCATTTCCTTACGTGTGAATTGGTGGATTATACCTGGTTTTATAATAGAATAAGGGAACCTATAGCATGATATTCCAATATCCATCTCTTTTGTTGTGACAATGAATTTTCATAAGGGGCCCAATAACTGCCTAAGAGAGGGCCCGCTCCAGACTTCATTCAGTGATGCCCTAAATAATCAACCAAATTGTTTCCACAAACCCGCCTCTGCAGGCGTGTTGTCAACATCACCATTTATTTGAGGACCTTAAGAGTCCAGCCTGGCAGGTGTGTTGTCTGAATGAGACATGTCAGACACCATAAGCAGAGACATATATACACATATGTGTATATATGTCTCTGCCATATGTAAATTTATATGTATGACCATTTGATTTTCCGGTGAAAGGGCAGAAGTTTCTTTACATGTACTGTTTCACGGGAAAACTTTAATTTCCCATCCCAGAAAATCTTATAATTTTGCTCCGCTGTATAAATTCATTTATCGGGAGAATTACACCCCCTCCACCTTTTTCAAAAACTCTGGATCTGCTCCTGTAGATTGTTGTTGTTAAACTTGGCACATATAAAGCTGTATATATTGATTATTTGATGATCTAGTGACGTTGCATATCAAACTGTAAATTTAAAGAATTTACTATGGGATTAAAACGTTGTTCTCTTGTAAAGGATTATTCCTGTTATTTCATTGATTTGATACTATTATAATTTTTTTCTTACATGAGTATTTTTGTTTTGTAATTGAACGTATATATAAACATACATGTATGGGAAGTGAAAGTGTATGATCTTTCCCTACATTTAAATGCCATCATATAATGGATCTGCATAATATTGGATCCCAAGCTTGTTTCACTAATTTAGCAAATGCACCCAGTATTGTACACAACATAACTTTCTATTTTCATAGATTAATGTTTGATTTTAAAGTATGATAAAAATAACAGAGGAGTATGTAGTAATAGTATACTGACATAAGAGGTCTCTAAACACAGTAGCTCCAAATGGAACTTTTGTTACTGGAATCCATATTAATTATGCGTATCAGCGGTATAAAATTATGACACACATAATCAACAGCGCCTGGTGATGATCCATAGTCTGACCGGTTTCGGTCCTTCATGGACCTTCCTCAGAGGCATAATGAAAATAACACTCTAATTGAAATTCTCTGTATTAAAGGAAGACACCCTTTTTTAAATTATTAATATGACATGTCGACTAAAAGGTCTGGTTACATTTATAGTCCCTAATGTGAACAGTGTCTAACTGTAAAAAAACATTTCATACCCCTTCCTCATTTATTTCTCTAAACATTTTATGCATACAATAGTAGTTGAAGAGATTACATGTAAAGCAGTAAGGTTCATGAATTTTGAGGTAAAGATGTAATTTGGTCAAGTTGAAAATAGCAAAAAGTAGTATGTATGGAGCTGTTAAACTGATTTATAGACCCCTTTAACATTCTATTGTCCATATTTTGAGCTAGAGCTGGAAGACTATTCTATAAGTTTGTTAAAACTTTTCCTAAAAGTTATACATTACAATTTAAAAATCTTATTGAGAAAGTGCTAGTGTTATTTTTTTCATTTATTATCAAGATATTATAAAGATATTCACTTTAACATGTTTAACTGATGCAGATCCAGAATTTTGAAAAAATGGAGGCCCAGGGACCCTTTAACTAGACAATGTTATGAGTGAGATATTTAAAAAGTCTATGCATTAACCATATATGTAGCTCCCTCCCTAAATCCACCTCTATTATATATATGAAATAATTGTGTTTTCGAACTGAATAGGAAAAATTACGACTTTTTTTAAAACTTGTCACTGATAGGGAATTATAAAAAAATTACGAAATTTCATAACAATACAAGCTACATTATAGACAATATGACCATTTTTATATGTAAACTTTGGGTGTTTATATTTTACATTTAATCTAACAATTTCAACTACATAATATCAAGATTTGGGATTTAAAAAATTAGATATTTAAAATGCACTAATATATAATGTAGTATGCATATATTTTTAAAAGCAATTAAACAATCGTGCATTCAATGTATCAACTTAGATTGAGTGTCCATTATATGCCATGAATTCTGCATCTTTCTTAGAGGCCACTGCAATAAAATCAATACTTAGGGATGATTTTCTATAAATTGTTTGAAATTTCACAGTGATATCATACTTTAACTTTGTTTAAACCTGTTTATTTACTTTTGACTTTAATTATTTATCCCTTTGTAATTTTTTATTAACTGTGTATTTGCATTCAGGTGTCACAGGTCAAATTCATTCGTTCATTGTGTGTTAATTTACGTTTTTTGATTGAGTTAAGCCTTCCAATTGATATTTTATAGTGTGTTTTTCTATGTTGTGATGTTATACTATTGTTTCAGAAAAGGGAGAAGGTTTGGTACCATTAAAACGTTTAATCCCACTGCAAATGTTTGCACCTGTCCTAAGTCAGGAATCTGATTACAGTAGTTGTCGTCTGTTTATGTAGTTCATACGTCTTTCTCGTTTCTCGTTTTTGTATAGATTAGACCGTTGGTTTTTCCGTTTGAATGGTTTTACACTAGTAATTTTTTGGGGCCCTTTAATTTATAGCTTGCTGTTCGGTGTGAGCCAATGCTCCGTGTTGAAGGCCGTACCTTGACCTATAATGGTTTACTTTTATAAATTTTAACTTGGATTGAGAGTTGTTTCATTGGCACTCATACCACATCATCCTATATCTATTTACATAAAATAACATATTTATTAAATCTGTAAATAGCACCTGGAATTAACAAAATTGTAGGACTCATTTAATAAATTATTGAAGAAGCAATACAAAAACAAAACAGTTTTAACAACAAAATACAACCTCAGACTACTATAACACATGTTTTATAGTGGTCTCAAATACAACCAATACAACATTACTATTTTGGGATGAAACTTTAGGAGTTAGCATCAAATTGCTTATGTTCAAATAAAAATAACTAACTTAAAAAAGTTGCAAGTATATTTAAGAATAATCTATGAGGAAAAAGTAAAATAACAAAAATACCGAACTCCAAGGATAATTTAAAATGGAAAGTTCCTTATCTAATGGCAAAATCAAAAGCTCAAACACATCTTACAAATAGAAAACAACTGTCATATTCCTGACTTGGTATAGGTATTTCCTTACGTAGAAAGTGGTGGATTTAACCTAGTTTTATAATAGAATAAAGGAACCTATTACATGATATTCTAATTCCTATCTCCTGTGTTATAATGCTCATTCGTATCGTTTATTTTTAATCAAAGAATAATCCATTGCCCTTTGCTTTATATCAAGTTGAACATATTTCATGCAAATTGAGGACTAAAGATGCACTGTACAATTGTGTGTGCAGCCCATTAAAGTACAATCATTTCTCCTTTAATTTATAAATAAATCATGTCTTCTAACCAAATAACAAAAATACTGGTAATCAATTAGGTGTTACTTTATAAATATAAATGTGATAGTCATTTAAAGTATAAAATGTACAACCTTGATTTAAAGAACTACTTGACAATCTTATATACAATCACAGCAGATGAATTTTGATAATCTAAATTAAGATCTATACTATTTTTTTGTTTCAATGAGAATTAGAAAAATTTAGCAATAAATGAATTTAAATCACATATCTTCCTGTTTTAATGATCTTATGAAAATGGGTTCCAAAAAGCAGTTTAAATTCTCTTATCAAAATGACTGCTACTTTTAAAATGTTACTTTGAGACATGCCAATCCATATTAAATATGAATTTCATAATCTTTGATATTGCATAATAATTTCAAAACAGTTTAATCATACACCCTTTATCATTTTTAAAACAAAATTAAAAGTATCATAAATTAATGGCCAGATGAATGGCCAAACCTATATGACAGGATCCCTAAAAATATAATAATACTGAACACCAACAACCAATAACTAATACTTTAACCTTGGCATATGACATTTAAGGAAATGAACAACTTATGATTATTTATAGTAAGAAACAACTTAAAACTTAAAAAGCAGATTAAACAACTTGTTTGTACAACAAAGTCATCATGCATATTGCGTGTCTCCAGATTGTGATAATTGTTTGACTGCTTCCATCATATTCTGTTCACGCTTCAGTAAATCTTCCATGTCCTCCCGTTCCTTTGTATCATTACAGACGACAATGAACTTGCTCTGGTTTTTCCTAGCTCGACCCCTCATCTGTACTAATGCTGTTACGTTTGATGGAGGGTTTAATGTTATGACTAGCTCACATTCAGGTATGTCTATTCCTTCTTCTGCCACTGAAGTTGCTACCACAATGTTATACTTATGCTGTCGAATGTTATCCAGTATGACTTTCTGATGAGAGACTTTCATGCCTGGTTCTTTACCACTTGTTGTTCCGTGTCCAACCAATGCAGATACACCTCCTTTGCAAACACTCAAAATTTTGTCTTGTAGAAGCTCATTCATTTTAAATGCAGACCCTCTCTCTTTCACGAGAATAAGTATGAGAGATTTGTCATCTTTAAGCAATGACATTGTCTCTGGGTTGATTAAAAGGTCAACCAGTTTTGAAAATTTCCCATCATCTTTCTGACCGTGTTGGTTTTCATCACACATAATTCTGGAAACCATTTCCATGATATTGGAACATGGCAACTCTAGTCTTCTGGCAAATTCAAAACTTGTCTCTTTATCCAGACCCATTAATTCTTTTAATTCTTCCACAGCAGCTACCATTCCAAACTGTAATAAAATGTCTAAGGTAACACAAATATAGTGAGAATGCTTTATCAAATTTGTGGCTAGCTCTTTCTCTTGAGGACTTGCACTAACACATGGTTCAGACAATCCTATTGTTAGCTTCAAATAGTTGAGCATCTTTCCATCTAGTTTTTCATCTGCAAGTTGTCTTAACTCTTCATCATTTTTATTCACCAATTTTAACTCCTCTGAATCTGAATGCTCTAAAAGATTTGTTACATCAGCCATTTTCTTGTAGCAATGCAATATGTAAACCTGGAGTTCTGATTTAAACCTCTCTTCCTGTGAATTCAGTGAAACAGTCTGAATATCAATCTCAGCATTAGATCTATATGTGTTTAGTTCACACTCATTTTCCTCAACTATTTCAATGGACACACCACCTACATTAATTGTTAATTCATTTAGCATTTTGACAGTTTGTTCAACAGTTGATTTGCCTGCAGGGGAAGCCGTGAGGCCCAATAGTTTTGGTTGGTCTTCAGTAGGACATTCTTTATGTTCAAAGTATGACAATCTATTGTAAGGATGACTTTTTACACAGTGATGGGCTTCATCAAATACTACCAAAGATGTGTCTTTCCATCGGAGTAACTTCTTCTGTAACAAATTCTCATAGTATGCTGAAAATATTCAATTTTATTCCAGATTAAATGTATCAATATAGTTCCATAACAAATCAAATTATGTTGAATCTGTTATTTCAGTTTTCCTTGGCTTTCAATTTTTTGGATATGAGTGTTACTGAGGAAGGTAAATCCAGAAAAGCAATATGGAAGCAACAAATTTATAAAGTGTTATACTGTATATGAACTTTTTTTCGTGTGTACTTATTTTCGCGAATTTAGTATTGCCGATGAATTCGTGTGTATTAAATTTCGCTGTATTTTCAAGAATATCAAAACATGAATAACCGACTTAATGTATTAAAAGTGCTCATTTACATGATTAATTAAATATTTATTTGTTTACCTATAGCCTGGCAAATCTTTACATTTTAAATCAAATGCTCCGCTTGGTGCAGCTTGATACGACCGCAGAGGTTGAACCCTGAACAGTTGGGGCAAGTATGGACACAACATTCAAGCTTGATACAGCTCTGAATTTGGATTGTGATTAAATATTTGACACAGCATAGGTTTCTGACACAGAATGAATGTGGTCTAAGAACTTAAAAAATTTTAATTTATCTACTGTAAATTCAGTAATTATTGCGAGGTTTTTATTATTGCGAAAATTGCGACAGAGTTATAAATGCAATAATTTAAACTCGCATTTTAAAATATTTTATATGAATTAAGCAGGAATTTTCCCAAAATCGTAAAACTTAAAATTGCATTTAAGTTAACAAGAGTGCACACGCTGAAATGTCTCGCCTTCTTTACTAATCATTGATATTATGTTGATAGTCCTAAATATAAAGCTTTATTACAACTGTCACATAAACTTAACATTAACCAAGTAAACTAAACATTGACCAATGAACCATGAAAATGAGGTCAAGGTCAGATGAACCATGCTAGGCAGGCATGTACAGCTAACAATTCTTCCATACAACAAATATAGTTGACCTATTGCTTATAGTTTAAGAAAAACAGACGAAAACACAAAAACTTAACACTGAGCAATGAACCTTGAAAATGAGGTCAAGGTCAAATAAAACCTGCGTGACTGACATATAGATCATAAAATATTTCCATACACCAAATTTAGTTGAACTATTGCATATAGTATTAGAAAAAAAGACCAAAACTCAAAAACTTAACTTTGACCACTGAACCATGAAAATGAGGTCAAGGTCAGATGACACCTGCCAGCTAGACATGTACACCTTACAATCATTCCATACACCGAATATAGTAGACCTATTGCATGCAGTATAAGAAAAAAAGACCAAAACACAAAAACTTAACTATAACCACTGAACCATGAAAATGAGGTCAAGGTCAGATGACACCTGCCAGTTGGACATGTACACCTTACAGTCCTTCCATACACCGAATATACTAGACCTATTGCTTATAGTATCTGAGATATGGACTTGACCACGAAAACTTAACCTTGTTCACTGATCCATGAAATGAGGTCGAGGTCAAGTGAAAACTGTCTGACAGGCATGAGGACCTTGCAAGGTACGCACATACCAAATATAGTTATCCTATTACTTATAATAAGAGAGAATTTAACATTACAAAAAATCTGAACTTTTTTTTCAAGTAGTCACTGAACCATGAAAATGAGGTCAAGGACATTGGACATGTGACTGACGGAAACTTCGTAACATGAGGCATCCATATACAAAGTATGAAGCATCCAGGTCTTCCATCTTCTAAAATATAAAGCTTTTAAGAAGTTAGCTAACGCCGCCGCCGCCGCCGCCGTAGCCGCCGCCGCCGCCGGATCGCTATCCCTATGTCGAGCTTTCTGCGACAAAAGTCGCAGGCTCGACAAAAATGACAAAATCGCAATAATAAATGCACACAATAATTTCTGAATTTACAGTATTATGGTCATATATCCAAAATCTAAATACATACACGGTTAGATTCAGCATATCAAAGAACCCCAAGAATTCAAGTTTTGTTAAAATCAAAGTTTAATTTTGGACCCTTTGGACCTTAATGTAGACCAATTTGAAAACGGGACCAAAAATTAAAAATCTAAATACACGGTTATATTCAGCATATCAAAGAACCCGAATATTTCAATTTTTGATGAAATCAAACCATATCATTATTATTTGCTTTTATATATAAATCAATAAAATGCTCCGCTGGGCGCAGCTTGATACGACCGCAGAGGTCCAACCCTGAACAGTTGGGGCAAGTATGGACACAACATTCAAGCTTGATACACACTGAATTTGGATTGTGATTAAATATTTGACACAACATAGGTTTCTGACACAGAATGAATGTGGTCTAAGAACTTATAAATTATTAATTGACCTATTTAAACCATATCATTATTATTTGCTTTTACATATAAATCAGAAATAACCAATTTAAAAAACCCTGAAAAGTTGCGGCCAAAATGGACACATTATTCGCACTTGATACAGGTCTGAATTTGGATTGTAATTAAATATTTGACACATAATAGGTTTCTGACACAGAATAAGTGTAGTCAAAGAACTTAAAATTGGTTATATGATTTGAATTTATATTCATTTTTTTGCTTTTGTGCAATACCACTATGCTGTTGCGAATTGCCCCTCCCCCCCCCACCCCCCCCACCCCCAAAAAAAAATTACCCGTTTTTTTTGCTTTCGTGCAATACACTATGCTGTTGAATATTAACCCCCCACCCAAAAAAAAATTGAAGAAATTTTCATTTTAATTTCTGAAATCTGAAATGAGCAAAATTGTAGCCCCCCCCCCCCCCCCCACAAATTCTTATTTACCCCCCCCCCCCCCCCCCAAATTTTTTTCAACTCCCCCTTTACCTTATTCCAAAAATAATCTCAATTCAAATTTCTAATGGAGTTTGCAACCATAACTACTCATTTAAATACATCATAAAATATTAAAATATAAAATGACATACAGTCATGGTTAAAATTAATATTACTTAATAGTAACTTCTAAAAATAAATTTACAGCTAATCATCTCAAGACAATCATCATTTCTTAATACATAATTTACAAGCAGTGTAAGGTAGGTAATCAAACATATATACAACAGTATTCTTTAAATGGATTGGATTACCTCCCTTACACTGCTTTTAAATTGTCTAAATTGTCCTTTAACCATAAAAACCCTTTTTTCCCCCCTTTTTGCCCCTAATTGCTAAATGGTTTGAGCCATAACCCCCCATATCCATCCCTTTGTTGTATAGAAACTTGTGGTATAATTTCAGAGAGATTCATACACTTAAACACAAGTTATTGTCTGGAAACTGCAAAAATGCTTATTTGGGCCCCTTTTTTGGCCCTTAACTCCTAAACCTTTGGGACCATAACCCCCAAAATCAATCCCAACCTTCCATTTGTGGTTATAAACCTTGTGTTAAAATTTTATTGATTTCTATTTACTTATACTAAAGTTATTATCTGGAAACCATCTGTCTTCAGACGACGCTGACGACGACGACGACGACTTGATACCAATATACGACCAAAAATTTTTTAATTTTTGCGGTTGTATAAAAATGCTTATTTTTGGCCCCTTTTTGGCCCCTTATTCCTAATTGTTTTGGGCAATAACCCCCAAACTCAGTTCCAGCTTTCCCTTTGTGATATGGAACCTTGTAGTACAATTTCAGAAAGATCCATACACTTACACACAAGTTATTGTCATGAAACTAGACAAATGCTTGTTTTTGGCCCCTAATTCCTAAAATTTTGAGGCAATTACCCCAAAAATCAATCCCAGCATTCCATTTGTGATATGGAACCTTTTAGTACAATTTCATAAAGATCCATACACTTACAGAAAAGTTATTGTCCTAAAACTAGAAAAATGCTTGTTTTTTGCCCCTTTTTTGCCCCTTATTCCTAAAATTTTGAGGCAATTACCCCCAAAATCAATCCAAGCCTTCCCTTTGTGGTATGGTACCTTGCAGTACAATTTCAGAAAGATCCATACACTTGAACACAAGTAAATGTCTGGAAATTAGAAAAATGCTTATTTTTGGCCCCTTTTTGGCCCCTTATTCCTAAAAGTTTTGGGCAATTACCCCCAAACTCAATTACAGCTTTTCCTTTGTGATATGGAACCTTGTAGTACAATTTCAGAAAGATCCATACATTAACACACAAGTAATTGTCATGAAACTAAAAAAATGCTTGTTTTTTGCCCCTTTTTTTTCCCCTAATTCCTAAAATTTTGACGCAATTACCCCCAAAATCAATCCCATCATTCCCTTTGTGATATGGAACCTTGTGGTACAATGTCAGAGAGATCCATACACTAACACACAAGTTATTGCCTGGAAGTTACAAAAATGCTTATTTTTGGCCCCTTTTTGGCCCCTAATTCCTTAACTGTTGGTACCATAACCCCCAAAATCAATCCCAACCTTCCTTTTGTGGTATTGAACCTGATGGTAAAATTTCATAGAGATCTATTCATTAAAACTAAAGTTATTGTGTGAAAACCAATGTGTCTTCGGACGACGACGACGACGCCAACGTCATACTAATATACGACCAGGAAATTTTTTCGGTCGTATAAAAATGGGACACTATTAGTTATCTTCATGATCTTAGTGTAAAAAGTGGTGTACCGAATTTTACACTGGTGTAAAATCATGTATACCCCAGATTTCACTTGCAAAAATATACTACATATGTACTTTTTTTGCGATGTATTTATTTTCAGGGATTTTGCGGTACATATATATCCGCAAAACTAAATACATATAATTTTAACTACACAACTTAATTGGATAATAACCTCTATCAAACAGACGACTTATTTGATGATTAAATTCTCTTTATAAAAATAAGAAGATGTGGTATGATTGCCAATGAGACAACTCTCCACAAGAGACCAAATGACACAAAAATTAACAACTACAGGTCACCAAACGGCCTTCAACAATGAGCATTTTAAGCCCAGCTATAAAAGGTCCTGAAATGACAAATGTAAAACAATTCAAATGAAAAAACTAATGTCTTAATTTTTGTACAAAATAATGAACGAAAAACAAATATGTTACACAGCAACAAACGACAACCACTGAATTACAGGCTCCTGACTTGGGACAGGCACATACAGAATGTGTAGCCGGGTTAAACTAGTTTGCTGGCTGCTGCCTAACCTGGGACAGTGGTGCAATGGCACAACACGAGAACAAACTATACAAAACAATAAACAAACAAAAATATGAGAAACAGCATAATAAACAACAACCACTCAATTTCAGGCTCCTGACTTGGGAAAGGCAAATATAGAATGTGGCTTGTTTATTTTGTTTCATACAATTGTTAAACAAATAAATATTTAATTAATCATATTAATGATCGTTTTAATATATTAAGTCTGTTATTACATTTTGATATTTTCGGAAATACAGCGAAAATAAGTATATGCAAAAAAAAGTACATATACCTTACTGAAAATTAATAAATAATGTGTGTCTTTATTATTGTAAATCCTTGACCACTGGCAAGTATGTGACATCTAATCTAATTAATGTGATTGCAAACATTTTATGCAGAAAAATCACTACTAAAATTATAAAGGCAAGTTTTTATTATTGTGAACTTGATACTATCACATTTTTTGCATCACATTACATTACATTGTAATAAAGACATTGCAATAATTTCTGAATTTACAGTAAAAAATGAATTTATTTCTTATGCAGTGTAATTTTTCTCTGCACATTTTTAAATACTGGGGTACAAACTAAAAATAAAATATAACTAACTGGAAGTGTTTAACGACCTTGACCACTGGCAAGTATGTGACATCTAATCTAATTAATGTGATTGCAAACATTTTATGCAGAAAAATCACTACTAAAATTATAAAGGCAAGTTTTTATTATTGTGAACTTGATACTATCACATTTTTTGCATCACATTACATTACATTGTAATAAAGACATTGCAATAATTTCTGAATTTACAGTAAAAAATGAATTTATTTCTTATGCAGTGTAATTTTTCTCTGCACATTTTTAAATACTGGGGTACAAACTAAAAATAAAATATAACTAACTGGAAGTGTTTAACGACCTTGACTGGATGTACATCCCTCGCACGGTCGGTATATAGTTTGACATTGCAGGGGTATATGCCTTTGATAGCATCTCTGCCATGGTATTTACCAAATGTATATGCCTTTTTCACCCTTCACAGAAACTCTTGATCATTTATGCACATTATCAAATGCAGGTGTAAATAGTTGAGCTGGGAAGAAGTGCTATTTAGGCCTAGGTAATTAACCAATCAGATTACAAGATCCTTGCTTCATAAACATAAATAACATTACACTGCAAACACTATGTTAATTGTAAATTCATTGCACTCTATTCAGTTTATTGATAATACAAAAATAAAAGATATGAGGTAGATTTTGAATGAGACAGCAACTGGACAACATGATAAAACCAAACAAGATTGTTAATCCATAGTAAAATGTCCTCCACTACTCATAATACATTTTTATACTGTAAATTAAGAAACTGAACCCTGAACATAAATGTGAGATTAATTAATGCTATTTCAGGAAATGCTGACAAACAAATCATTATCAAGATAAAACAAAAGTTTTTAGTTTTGTGAAACGTATCCTGTCACAATTTTCATAATAACAAGCATTCTGAGAGTATTGCATGGCAATACATAGTCCCCTACCGGTTAAAAATTCATTGTACTGGAACAAAATGCTAATTGATCTATAACTTGTCATGGTATTACCTATATAACAAATGTCAAGTCAATATCTTCAAGCATGACAAAAAAAGTGTGGAAAACTGATTATTAGTCCCCTACCGACGAAGTCAAAGGGGACTTTAGGTTTGCACTCCATCTGTCTGTCTGTCTGTCTGTCTGTCCATCCGTCAGTCCGGCAAATCAGTTTTCCATATTTTTTTTCTTTGTGCTTGAAAATATTGATTTAATATTTGGTATATAGTTTTATCATGACAGTAACAGATCAAGTTCGAATTTTGTTCTGGTCTGATGTTTTTGTGCAGAGTTATGGTCTTTGGACTTAAAAATTCACTCAAATAATCAGTTTTCCACACTTTTTTTTGTCATGCTTGAAGATATTGATTTAATAATTGGTGTAAAGTTTTATCATGACAAGTTACAGATCTATTTCCAATTTTGTGCAGTTATGGTCCTTGGACTTAGAGAATTCATTCAAATAATAACTTTTCCACACTTTTTTTCGTCATGCATAAAGATATTGATTTGATAATTTGTATATAGTTTTATTATGACAAGTTACAGATCAAGTTCGAATTTTGTTCCGGTCTGATGATTTTGTGCAGACTTATGGTCCATGGACTTAAAAAATTCACTGAAATAATCCAAATTGTGGTAAAGTATGGTAAACTACATTTCATGACAAACCATCCTACAAAGTATTAAAGCTTTCATGCAAACAGTCTCAGAGGTGAATTGTTCACAAAGCATAACAGACAGACAAAGAAATAAAAACTATTACTATTCACTCAACCACAGTTTGGCAGAGGAAAAAAACATCTCTGACTTCATTCAGCAATATATATATACCTGCTGTGACTACAATAACATCATGTTTCCACAAAGGTACACCTCTAGAGCTCTGAGAACCTGAACACAGTCCTGCAATCAATAACTTTCTTTTCTCTGTTGTGTAGAGATCCTGCAGTCCAAATCTAAATCAATATAAAGTAAAAGAAAAATTAATCTAGATTTATTGCTTCTTCTTGCATTTGTTTTTAACTATTCAAATTCTATTTTCCTTTTAATTTGTCACACTTCATGCCAATAAATTGTATAGTAAATGAAGGTTTTGCTTTGTAAAAAAAAAGTTTGTAAGAAATTTTGACATTCCATTTATGCATTCCAAAGAGAAAACAAGAAAATTTCAATGTGTGTCAAAATAGATGTACCCTTCTTTAAAGAATTATATAAGATCATAGTGAACAAACACTGTTATGACAGTTTTAATAGAAAAAAAACAGATTTTGAACAATTTAAACCGAACTCAATATGTATTGCTATATATGTACAGTTATGAGAACTAATTATTCTACATCCTGTCCATAACTGTTTCAGTGCATAAGGTCATGCTTTTCACAGACTGTTTAAGATGTGTTTACACTAAATCCATTGAATGTGTACTGAATGATACTTTAGTCTGGGAGAACATGATTTATTTATTAGTTGTAATTGGCTTTGAACTAGTTTCCAGTAATTGTGAGTACTCTTATTTCATTGCATTGGTTCTATTGTTTTTATGTTAGTTGTTTTTGTGCCTTGTACCGATCTTTTGAATTAAGCCAATTGCTACTGATTTTTACAGTTTGTTCTTATGTTGTGCTGTTATGCCAGGTAAGGGCACTCGCAAACATGTTTAACCCCGTCACATTCTTTATGAGCCTATCCCAAGTCAGTAACCTGTAGTTGAGTAGTTGTCGTTGGTTCGTGTCTGTCATATTTGTTTTTCGTAAATTGTATGTTATAAATTAGGCCAATGGTTTTCTCGTTTGAATAGTTTCACATTTTTCATGTCAGGGCCTTTTAGATCTGACTATACAGTATGGAATTTTCTCATTGTTGAAGGAGGTATGTTGCCTATAATTGCTTACATCCACTTCATTTGAACTTTGATGGATAGCGGTCTCATTGGCAATCATACCACATCTCCTTTTTTTAGATAAAAAGTAATCCTATTAGATACACATGGCTAAAATTCAGTTTAAATGTCAAGCCAAAGGAGAATTTATAAAAGGCCACTTTTTGAAAACTTTAATTCCAAAATCATTAGTACATCAGACAAGTATTCAAATTTGTTAATGATGTCTTGCATATGAGTTTCAGGGCATTCAGCTACCTGCATTTAGTTCAAAACTAAAAAATAAATGCCAAAATAGCCTCATTTTGGGATCTTGTCACTATTTTATGGATACTAGTATGAGCAAAGGCCTTATCCAAAAGATTATTTGCTTCAAGATGTCTTAAATCACACATGTCATTTTTTCGGTTTAGGTCTTATATTTTAAACCTCTAATCAATGTATAAATTATAAAATTTATTATGCATCTAAAGGTGATGTGCATAAGTTACATGAAAAATGAAAACCTCTTAACTGAGAATTACCAGGCTTCTCACAAATGAAAATCAAAGTTACTCAATTTTATTACGGCACAATATATAAACAAGACATACAATTATATTTCACAGCACAGGATAAAGAATTTAACTGACAGTCACATCAAATTGTTAGTAAGCAAAATAGCGACAAGCCTTTAGAAATAAATAAATATAATAAGCCAAACAGATCGAAAACACATTTGAGCTAGCCACAGTTACATGTAAATAAGCACTATTTTATGAATAAATACATAAAAAATATAATAATTAGCACAGTTGTAAGCGGCGGGTGGGAGGGTAAATAATTTCAACAATAAATTTCAAATGTGCCACGAATCCCGAAACAAAGAAATATATATGAGCATCCTGTATCCAGGTAACATGCTAACCAATCAAAATAAAGAATACTCGGAATAATTTCTTCCGAATAATATGTAAACAGTGATCCACGTGGTAATTATCAATTTTTATAAAACTCAAAAATTTCACAACAAAACATTACTTTGGGGCCCCAAACACTGTTATTTAAATTCTAAACCTTTTATTGCATATCTATAGATGATATATAAACTTATCTAGTCTAGTCACTGAAATAAAAAGATGAGATAGAGCTCGTGTCATTATCAAAAGTTGTCATTGGTTTCACAAACAAAGTCCTATATTTCTGCATCAACAAATTTAAAAAAGAAATCTTAATGAAAAAGGAGTTTTTTAAATCAATATTATACCAACATCTATGGATATTAACATAGACAACAAATCATCCCCGTTCTTAGTCCGAATTTGGAGACTTTTCAGGGAATTCGGGCACAAAGTGTAACGTGAATGCAACGTTTTTTATTATTCAAAAAAGTTTTATTGATATTTGGAAATTTGACATACCGGTAACTTTTACAGGGTGTAGGGTACTTACTACCTTTGGTAGAACCCTACAGGTAGTAAAATATAAGACCTTTCTAATCCAGAGACAGAGAAACTAGAATAAATCAAAGTTTGTGCTCTTTGGTCATAGACTGAGTTACCTCAACATGCCTTGCATAACTAGGTCAGTATTCCCATTAATTGATGATGTGGTAGCCAAGTGATGCATTTACTAAAATGAATGCCAATGATGAGCATAATAGGATAGAATAGTCAGTGGATAACATATTTAATTACAGACATCATGGATAACTTACAGAATTCAATTTTTCACTGGGAACAACGTTAACCACAGAAAACGTGTGTGAAGTCCCTGGGGTAATGGGTAGCAATGCCCAGGTATATGGGTTAGCAACACCCAGGGCTTTGGGTTTGTAACGACAGTCATAAGCCAATGAAAATCCGAGAAATATTGTAAGCTGGGGATAATTATATTGATAAGACCCCTTTCAATTATTATTAAAGGCAGATCACCTTCTTTCTTTTTAGTACATCCCTCCACTATCTGGAGCAATACAGGGTATCTGTGTAATCAGAGCAACGGTTTTAAAAATATATATAAAACTTCTTCTGCATGTGCGTGCCTACGTTTATATCTTCGCACTACACAGTAGAATTAGTCTGTACAGCATCATATAAGTAGTTATATACACATATTACCCACCACCTATAAGAACACGTAATGTACCGCACTCTTAACTTTAAAAGTCATACTATTGGTTTTAAAAGTCTTTCTTGTCCATTCATATAACTTCACAATTAAAAAGTCTATTCCTCATATGAATTAAAACATACTGTCCAACAACTGTCTCCGTTAGCTTCCACTATAAAATGACCTCTGCTTAACATCCAAACAAAATGAGAGACATTATCTTAATCTTAAAACTTATCCTTAAAATTAGTCAGTTTAAGATATGGTATTTAAATAATTTAACAGGATTTCTCTACTTAATCTATTTAACCTTAATAAAAATTTCACCTAAGGGCTATTGCAGGAAAAATGTGTTGGAGGGTTGGAAATAATATGATTTTTTTTAGATATTACAGGATAGAAGCAAATACATTTCTATTACGAATGAAAATAAAAATTATGAGTGGTAGGGTGAATTCCCCTCCTCCTGGACCCTAGTATACTTCTTTGTCATGAAAATAACTTGTCTGGTACCTACTTGGTGAATAGTTTATCCCCAAACTCTGATTCTATATTATAAGATACTGGTACTGCTGAAGAACCAAGTATAGACCTGTCTGCACTAGCCTGGCACTAGGAAGATAAATTGTCAGGTCCTTACCTAGTAAATAATGTACCCCCAAGCTCTCTCTTTTGATAAACTGAAACTGCTGTAGAATCAGTAGACCTCTCTCCACAAGGAAGATAACTTGTCTGGTACATACCTGGTAAATAATGTACCCCTAAGCTCTCTTTTGATATACTGAAACTGCTGTAGGACCAGTAGACCTCTCTCTCCACAAGGAAGATAACTTGTCTGGTACCTACCTGGCAAATAATGTACCCCCAAGCTCTCTTTTGATACTGAAACTGCTTTAGAACCAGTAGACCTCTCTCCAAAAGGAAGATAACTTGTCTGGTACCTACCTGGTAAATAATGTACCCCCAAGCTCTCTTTTGATACTGAAACTGCTTTAGAACCAGTAGACCTCTCTCCACAAGGAAGATAGCTTGTCTGGTACCTACTTGGTAAATAATGTACCTCCAAGCTCTCTTTTGATATACCGAAACTGCTGTAGAACCAGTAGACCTCTCTCCACAAGGAAGATAGCTTGTCTTGTACCTACCTGGTAAATAATGAACCCCCAAGCTCTCTTTTGATATACTGAACCTGATGTAGAACCAGTAGACCTCTCTCCACAAGGAAGATAATTTATCTGGTACCAACCTGGTAAATAATGTACCCCCAAGCTCTCTTTTGATATACTGAAACTGCTGTAGGATCAGTAGACCTCTCTCTCCACAAGGAAGATAATTTATCTGGTACCTACCTGGTAAATAATGTACCCCCAAGCTCTCTTTTGATATACTGAAACTGCTGTAGAACCAGTAGACCTCTTTTCACAAAGAAGACAGCTTTCTGTTACCTACCTGGTAAATAATGTACCCCCAAGCTCTCTTTTGATATACTGTAACTGCTGTAGAACCAGTAGACCTCTCTCTCCACAAGGAAGATAACTTGTCTCGTACCTACCTGGTAAATAATGTACCCCCATGCTCTCTTTTGATATACTGAATTTTCTGTAGAACCAGTAGACCTCTCTTCACTAGGAAGATAACTTGTCTGGTACCTACCTGGTAAATAATGTACCCCCAAGCTCTCTTTTGATATACTGAAACTGCTGTAGGGTCAGTAGACCTCTCTCTCCACAAGGAAGATAACTTGTCTGGTACCTACCTGGTAAATAATGTACCCCCAAGCTCTCTTTTGATATACTGAAACTGCTGTAGAACCAGTAGACCTCTCTCCACAAGGAAGATAACTTGTCTGGTAGGATTCTGCTCTAACATTGTACTCATTACCATACAACCTATCAATGTTTTACCAGTACCTGCAGAAAGAGGAAAAGTTAACACTCTAAATACTAATATCAGGTGCACTAATTATATCTAAATAAATACTTACCTTAAAAAAAGAAATATTCACAGATTGAACAATCAAATATGGCCATTAGCTATCTAATTTATATTAGCCAACAAACATGGTAATTTTCCAAAATTGTTTGTCAACAAGAATGCATATATGATGAAATGACTGGCTGCCTTTACTTATTGTTTTGGAATTTCAATTCATTTTTACCAATGGATCATGAAAAGGTCATGGCCAGATGAACATAGCCAGACAGACCTGAACACATTACAATCATTATACACACTGAATATGGTTGATTAAACTAGTACTTACATGACTTATAGAATCAGAGAAACATACCTTATCATAATAAATTGTTGACACAGAGATATGTCTCACCTATCAGCATAAAATTCAGAAAAAGACAATCTGATGGACAGCAACATTGCTTATTAATTCAGTCATTGGACCATGATCTAGTGGGCAGGGCCTGAAAATGGTTGACAAACTGAGATGTACAGACAGTAATGTAACTTTATAGAAAATATTGTTGTTTATTGTAAGTAGTTCCTATCAATATAATTAAGCATAAAAACTTAACATTGAAAATTGCTAATTAATTCAAAGTCACTGGACCATGTCCTCGGGGCAGGGCCTCAAAATAGTTGTCAAGCTGATATGAACTGATAGTAATGCAACTTTAAACAAAATATCATTGATCTATCACAAGTAGTTCTTATCAAACTGACTTAAGCAGAAAAACTTAACATCCAAAACTGCTAATTAATTCAAAGTCACTGGACCATGACCTAGGGGGCAGGGCCTAAAAATAGTCATTAAACTGATATGAACTGATAGTAATGCAACTTCATACAAAGTATCATTGATCTATCACAAGTAGATCCTATCAAACTAGCTTAAGCAGAATACTTAACATTGAAAATTTCTAATTAATTCAAAGTCACTGGACAATATCCTAGGGGGTAAGGCCTCAAAATAGTTGTCAATCTGATATATATGTACTGATAGTAATGCAACTTCATACAAAATATCATTGATCTATCACAAGTAGATCCTATCAAACTGACTTAAGCAGAAAACTTAACAATTGTTGACGCCAGAGCCATTGCCGGAAAAGCAATCCCTATGTCTCGCTTTCCCCGACTTTAGTTGCAGTGAGACAAAAACTAAACACAGATCACTGAACTATGAAATGAAGTCAAGGTGATGTCAACCCTATCTGACAAAAATGTATACCCTTTAAGGCCAACTAAATTTAATTAGTAGATTTCATCCAGATTTTTGAAAAAATGGGGCGGGTGGGAGGATTTTATTTTTTAAATTTTATTTCATATGAAACACTCATCTGACGTGTTCTTCATACATGCAAGTGTAATAATAAGCTAATATCATGTATATACATGTATAAGGAATCGTTCATTTTTTTTAAAATTCTTAAATAAATATCTCTGATTGGCAACCACTGTTCTACATGCAATTGCCGCTTTAGAAACCTATTAATAGTATACAACAACAACGTGGATAAATGCTCTCTTCAGTTGGACTGTCAACACCAAATTTATATTGCTTTCCAAGCTACGGTTTGTAGTCCCCATACAATGAAGCAAATGCATTGGTATGCAACACATGTATCATGAGAACAGTCTGAGAATAAAATGAAAACTCAAACAGTGTTGAAAAAAATAGGGTTGGTGCTTATTCAATAAGCAAATATCATGAATATAATATTATAATGTAAAACATGAACTTAACAAAAAAGAAGTTGTGTAATGACTCTACTGAGGGTATAGGGACAGAGGGTGTTTGCTGTTTGTCAACCAAAAAAGACAGCCATGTGTAAATTTTAAGGGCTTTGTCGACTTTTTGAACACAATATACAGTCCATGATAAATCTAACAAATTCGTGCTTGTGTCAATTTCTTTAATCAAGTCATGTTTTTTGTACCAATGTGTTCCACGATTCTTGCACTTTGGATATCATTCACAGTCCAAATTTCCTGACACAAAGTCATTGTATAAATACAAAAAATCCACAGTTTTCTAATCACAATAATTTGTGAAATACCGTGATTTGCATTCTTGGACACCGCGTATTACTGGTCACCCGAATATTTCACGCCCTTCTCATAATCAATCTCTATTCTCAGTAGATGATCATATGGTGTCATCATAGAGCAGCAGAATATTTCGACTTAATCATTTTGCATGTTTGGTTGATTACTCCAAGAAATACCAAAACGGAAATTTGAAACAGGAAGTTTTGAATAAACAAAATTATTGACGATTACCGGTAACGGAAATGAATAAATTCCAGAAATCGTAAATTTTTTTAAATAAAAAAAAAATCGGGGCGGGACAATTTCAGAGGGGCGGGCGGGGATGAAAATCTATCAATTAATTTTAATTGGCCTAACCATGTTAACTGGAAATAAACTGCTTCGCCAAGCGCAGCTGGATACAACTGCAGAGGTCCAACCCTGAACAGTTGGGGCAAAAATGGACACAATATTCAAGCTTGATACAGGTCTGAATTTGGATTGTAATTAAATATTTGACACATTATAGGTTTCTGACACAGAATAAAAAAAATACATAGGTGGTTTTTGTCAAGCAGTCAATGTATCCTGAAAATGAGGGCAAAGGAAACGGACTTGTGTAAAATGGTAACTTCAGACAATACGGCATTTGTATACAAGATATGTGGTTTTTTTTCACTCTCCTCCATGTACCTCTTGAAATATATAGTTTATTTGGTCACTGCTGCATGATTTGCTTCTTTAGTCTTTGCCATGTTCTGTGATATTTTTGCAGCCAAGACAAAGATGTGACAGATGCACCTATATACATAATATAATCAGTGATCATTTATAAATCAAAGTAGGACACAATGTAGGACAATAAATTTGCATTCAGAATTATTTTCCATAAAAATTATTAATTTTTTTTTGGATGCCTCCCCCTTACATAGCATATGTGATTTTTCTGACTATGCTTTAACGTTCACCTGTAGGAAGAAAACAAATGGTGTCTTTCCTCATCGCTTTCCCAAACAGTTCTTCTTGATACTTCCTGGGTCTGGTTTTGGTCTTTACATCAGTTACATCTATTTCTATGAAGACAGTTTCTGGTAGATCTCTGTCAGGGGCCAATAACTTCCTCCCATGATTCTTCCCTTGTAAATGATCATTGTACGCTTTCTCAGTGTTCATCAACTGGTTACATATGATACAGTGGTAATTTTGTTGACGTTTAGGCATTCTGACTGTTGTTGTAGACCTTGTGTTTTGGGAACCTTTTGAATTATCCTTTTTAGTTGACACATTTGGGGTAAATGCTTTACTTTCTATTGACTTGGTACTAGTGTTTGTTTCCATTGTATTTTTAGTTGTCATAGAAACATTCAGTGAATATCCATTATCATGTGTTATTTCATAATTATTTTTCTTTTGAAATATAGTATCAACATTTTTGCCTTCAATCTGATTTTCATTTGAGTAATTACTCGAGGAATTTAAAGATTTGAAATCTTTGTTTACTGCTTTGTTCAAAGGTAAGCTTAAATTATCTTTGTGGTCAATATTTTTGGAATATTTTCCTCCTTCAAAAGACTCAAGGATACTCTTAACAAAAGTCTGATCTAATTCCTGTCTGACATTGTCCTCGTCACTCGAATTACTCCTATCACTACTGATATTGTGTTCATCCTTTTCTTCTAATTGGCCACTCAAATCATTTTCAGCAGTTTTGTGCTCCAGGTCAAAGGTTGGCTGTGCATCATAGTATATTGAGTCATCATTTTCTCCATTATTGCCCTCAATGTTACCATCATTATTTGTGTTATTCTTTTCATCTCCATGACTATTAGACTGCTGAAGTTGTTGTTTTTTCTTGTGAGCTTTACCTTCTATATGTATTTTCATATTATCACTCCCACTAATATTGACTTGACAAATATCACAATACAACAAACTTCTATCGGACTTCTCCTTTTGTGATATATTGCCTTCTGATGATTCAACATTAACTTGCATTTCTTTCTTTTTATGTGCTTTTCCTTGTAAATGAACTTTAATATTTTCTATTCCACAACATTTAATGTCACATAACTTGCAATAAAAACCGTCACCACTTTCATCTTTAATGACATTTTCATCATCCAATACTGAAGATGGCATGGCTTCTTGTTCCTTTCTTTTGTGAGATTTTCCTTCCAAGTGATCATTCATGCTCTCAAGACAACTGCATCTGATTTTACACAAATCACAAAATAGTTCACTTTCACCAATCAATGAATTCTTATGCATCCTACCTTCATAATGGTCATTTGCATGTTTGGCAGATGTGAAAGATACTTTACACAAGTTACAAAATTCATCTGATCTGGTTGCCATTCTTCAATTTCTATAAAAAAAATCAAAATGAAAAGGAGTATTAATAAATTAAATTACGTTTGCACCTAGAAAAAAGTACATTGTATGTAGAAAAATGAAATATGGTGTTATTAAAAAAATCAATGAGTGTTTTTACTGTAGTTTGAACCTCTAAATATATGTAAAGTTACCGAACAAATCAAGTTGTAAGTTTCCAGTATCTGTGGAATGGGAAATTAATAAATTCAAAGACTCAAAGTCTTATAAAAGTTAGTGCATTGTCGGATAAATAGAAGTTAGTACCTTGTCTGAAACTAATCAGCACCAGAGCTCCAGATAAGAATTTACTAATTATGGTTTTTACTCCTCATTTTTTATGTAATTGAGTGAAATAATTTTTTCTTTTGCATCATCAGTTCAAGTCCACCCCTCAGGCAAAGACTGAATTGGGTTTTTCACTCCAATATTCCTGAAAGTATTGGGGTTTTTTCATCATGGTTTTAAAATTGAGACATTTACTCTGTTTGGGTAAAATTGATTCATTGTCATGTGTATGATGCATCAATATTATATTTCTGTGAATGTGTTATAACAATTTAACATCAATTCATGGACAGTTTCATTTTAAAGAAAATTTATGAACTGATGCCGATTGTTTATCGGGATACAAAATTTTAACAAGGGACAAACGATTTAAAGATTCTGACAAGGACCCAATTCTGCCATTTGTAACTTCTCCACCCTTATCGCTTCACTTACATTTACGTTTATGTATGTGAATGAGAATGCCTGAGTAGTTACGATTGCTTTTTGATTGGTGCTCTATTTTAAGAACGAAAGTAGGTTTCTTTAAATTACAAAAATAGATTTATAAATTACGCAAAAATAATTCATGATTTAGCGTAAATAACGCACTTGACAGCGACTAATAGGGTTGGGAATGCATAGTTTTAATAAATAACTGGGTTCTCCTTTGAATGAATTGGGTTTTTAAACGCTGAGAAGGACAATTGAATTAGGTTTTCTATTGTTTTAATTGCGTAATTATGCAAATATGAAGCTTATCTGGAGCTCTGCAGCACTGTGAACAGAGCTGGATAAACACACCATTTTGTTAGTCCAAAATATCGATTTAATTAAATATTTTTTACAGTAATGATATTTGATCGAAGCTTCTATTACAATCTATTTATCAATACTGAATGATATCAGAAATTTCTATGTAAAAGGGTCATAACTCTGGCATTTGTCAATGAACCAGGATGTTCTACATGTACATGCACTTCTTTATGTTAGAATCTTACAAGGTACAAAGTGTCATGAACATCTGACGGGTACATGTTACAAGACATTTCGGCACCAAGACAAATTGAAACCCAGGTTCAAAGGTCTTGTGGCACCAAGACAAATCGACACCCAGGTTCAAAGACATTTTGGCACCATTTTGGACATTTCTGGATCAGGACAATACAAATACATTTGCATATTGAATATCATTGACTTAACATAAGCGGTTCATCTTAAACTGACCTAATCACAAACTAATACATGAAAACTAAGCAAAAGTTTAAAAGTCAATAGACCATGAATGAGGGGGTGGGGCCTAATAATCTCAATGGTAAAGAGATGTGCCAATGCTAATACTACTGCATACCAAATATCATTGACCTACCACTAGTAGTTCCCCATAAACAGACCTAATCACAAACTAATACATGTAAACTAAGCAAAGTTTCAAAGTCAATAGACATTGACTGAGGGGGCGGGGCCAAATAATCTCCATGGTAATGAGATTTGCCAATGCTAATACAACTGCATACCAAGTATCATTGACCTACTACTAGTGGTTCACCATGAACTAGACCTAATCACAAACTAATACATTTTTGACGCCGCCGCTGCTGCCGGAAACAGCATACCTATGTCTCGCTTTTTGACTCTGTCAAGGCGAGACAAAAATAAAAGAATTTAAAAGAAACAGTTCATTTAATTGTGTATGTTAAACACAATTTGATTAACCAGGAGCGACAACGATCGATAATACATATTTAATAAATCTTGCGAGTTTTTAATTTTCTGAAACATAATAATAATAATAATAATAATAATAATATTCTTTATTTAACGAAGGTAACACATTTAACAATTACATGTTAATCTTCCATGAGGCCTTCAAAAACTATTAATACAAATAGAAAAGGAAAAAAAAAACCAAAATACAAACAAAATAAAATACATAATACTGTTATACATAGCAGCTTAAATATTGAATAAGTACATATGCATTCAATAGAAGAAGAAAAAATACATTAGAATCAAGCATCTTCATTTTGTACAGTTTGAAAATAGTTTGAACATTTGATCTTAAATGTATCTAAATTATTTATTTCTTTAATATTATTTGGTAAATTATTCCAAGTAATAAGACCAGAATATTTAAATGTTCTTTTTAAAAATTCAGAATTAGGTCTTGGTACATGAAGAAGTCTTGATGTTGTCGACCTGAGACAATAATTATAAAGATCAGTACAAGCAGTAAATTTAATAGATAGATAATCAGGTGCTAGACCATTCATACATTTAAACATTAAGACAGCTTGAAAATATTGTATTCTTGTAAATATAGTCATCCATGCAAGCTTTTTAAACATTAATGTTGATGGAAATTCAAAAGAAACAGATAAAACTAATCTTGCAGCATGTTTTTGGAGCTTATGTATCCTCTCCAGATTACAGTTTGTGGTAAGACCCCATACTGTACAACAGTAGTCAATAATGGGTAATATATAGCTATTGTAAAAAAGAATAAGACCTTTTAACGGTAAATAAAGTTTCAACCTTTTTAACAGGTATATTCTGGTTGAAATAGTTTCGCATATTTTATCAATTTGATTTGACCATGATAGATTTTTATCAATATGAATTCCAAGAAGTTTTTCAACTTCAACATTATCTAAAGTGATATTATCTTGTGATAAAACACATAAACATTCATTGCAGCTTTCCAGTTTTCTGTCTGATCCAACAAGCATACATTTTGATTTCTTGCTATTTATCATCATATCATTTTCTTTACACCATTTAATAACATTGTCTAAGTCTTTATTCAAACATATATTTAAATTTACAATAGATTTAGATGACAAATGTAAAGTTGTATCATCAGCATATAGATCAGATTCTGTATATTCTAAGGATAATGGTAAGTCATTGATATAAATAAGGAACAATAAAGGTCCAAGTATAGAACCTTGGGGAACTCCAAAAGTTACAGTTTTATATTCTGATTCGGTGGTTCCTAACTTAACTTTTTGCATTCTCTGAGAGAGGTATGATGAAAACCATTTTACAGAGTGTTCATCACAATTGTATAATTTTAGTTTAGATAAAAGTATATTGTGTTTTACTGTATCGAATGCCTTCTTAAAATCTAAAAAAAGAACAGCGGGGGTAAAATTTCCATTGTCCAATTCCTCTAACCATTTATCAATTATTTTAATGAGTGCTGTATGACAAGAATGTTTTTCTCTAAATCCAGACTGCTGTTGTATTAATAATTTGTGTGTGGTTAAGAATAAATATAGTTGTTTAAAGACAGTTTTTTCAAATAACTTGGACACAGTGGGTAAAATTGAAATGGGTCGATAATTGTTTGGATCTGTTTTATCCCCTCCTTTAAATATGGGAGCAACTTTAGCAAATTTTAATATATTAGGAAATATTCCTGTACATAAACTAAGTGAGCAAGGGGGCTTGCTACAATCGATCTTGATAATTTTAAAATTCTTGGTCCAACACCATCAGTTCCGGTTGATTTAGTTATGTCTAGATTTTTCAGAGCTTGTAGAACCTCATCATTTGTGACAGTATATAATGAGAATTTAGCATCATCATTTATTTTTGATTTGACATAGTTGTTAATTTTCTCAGATTTAAAACTTTTGTGAGGATTTGATATTAGCTTATCACCTACTGTGCTAAAATGATCATTTAAGCAGTTAGCAATATCATTTTTGTTTATAAGTACTTTTCCTTCGTGTGTTAAAATGTCAATTTCCTGTTTTGTTGTTGAATTCATATCCTTCAAATGCCTCCAAAGAATTCTACAGTTTTTATCGTTATCTATTGCATCCATAAAATATTTTGATTTTGCAGAACGAATTAATTCACTAGTTTTATTCCTATATTTTTTATAATTTTCAGTGTCTTTCTTTTTGTGAAAATAATCTCTTTGGAATTTTGATTTACCAATTTCATTAGTATACCATTCTGGTAGATATTTATTTTTTACACGTCTAGTAACAACAGGTGCATGTTTATCTAAAACATTGACAAGTAAGTAATGCCAAATGTCCATTGCTTGGTTTGAATCATTGATTTCGTGAATTATATCGAATGGTTGATTTGACAAATCTTGTAAAAACATTTCATCATTAAATGTTTTGAAGTTTCTGTATTTGATCTCAAAATGTGAATCTGATTTGTCTTTAATAAGCTTTGCAAATTTGTTTACAGTACAGCTAACAGGATAATGATCACCTGGGGCGTATGATGGTACTGTAACATTGATAAGACTTGTAGGATTAGTACTGTAAATATGATCAATTAAAGTGACACTAGTAGAAGTAACTCTAGTAGGGTCAACCACCATTTGATGAAGGCCATATGTTGTAATAAAAGATGACCATTTAGAAGGAAGAGGCTTCAAAAAATCAATATTAAAGTCACCCATTAACAATATATTATCATTTATAGATAAGTCATTTACAACCTCATTTTCAAAATTAGTATACCAAGAGGTTTGGCTATTAGGTGGTCTGTATACAAAACATAATAAAAATGATTCTTTGTGTTTTGGAAAAATCTTAAACCAAACAGTTTCTATGTTTTCACTCTCTAATAAAGTCATCCTTTCATATTTAATGTCATTATCAAAGTAAACTATCCATCCCCCACCTTTTTTATTTTCCCTATCTTTTCTTTCATTGCTATACCCCGGGATGTTAATCTCATTAGAATCCCGCTTACATTTTTTAGTCTACATATAACTACATATAACTTTTATATATCTAGGTCCTGCCACGCCTTAAAACTTTCCTAGATGCATCAGTTTGTCTGTACTCATAGTAGATTTTGTGGTGTAAACACGGCCATATTTTTCAATTCCTTTTGATCTGAGACTACTAGTCTCAGTTCTGATGAACCTTTTAAAAAGTGCCTGTGGTTCAGACGGTTACCCTGTTTTTTTTTCCTTATAATTTAACGCGTAACATGGATATTACATGCTATGATCTGCTTTTTCTCAATTACTGATATACCTGTTTTATTATAAGTCTGGAGAACAAAACGTACGACTTTTTCAAGATACTTGTCAACGTTTACTTTCGTTTTGCAGTGTATATATCGAGTTACCTCCCCTATAGTGATGGAACGAAGTCCGTCAGCTTCCGTAGCGGTGGACCTTATATCCTATGGAGGCTTCTCAGATTCCGGAATAAAATCCGTTATGTATTTTATATTTATTTTTCTCGTATGAACTCTTCTGTAAAGAAGATAATGTTGTTCTTACTTCCGATTATGAACTTCTGTAGATATGGATTATAAATAAACAACTGTAACAATTAAGCATAGACTTGCTATGAGGGGTGGAAGGAATAATGGGAACCTGGGAATCTATCTTCAGCTATACTATTGATCTGCAGTGGAAATCCATAACGCAGATACTGCTGTGCTGGGAATGAGGGGTGGGAAGCGGGAGGTAGTGGAGTCCGGGTATATTTTTGTGCTCTTTTATAATAATGTAATTTTATGCACTTTCTCTAAACTTCATCTTTTGGCTGACCACCCTAGTGGAGGGAAGTGAAAATTAAAGACCCCCCATTCCTATACCACCATGTGTAATGCTTGAAATAGTGTAAGGGAGCTACCATAATTTTGATTTTTTATGGGGGGCTAGGATGAAAAATTTGTCCTGCTTTTTTTTTTAGTTGTAATCTCTGTCCTGCCTTTTTATTTTTCACTCTATTCGGTCCTGCCTTTTTTTTTTTAGTTTATCCTGACTTTTTTTTTACTTGAATTGTCATCCTGCCTTTTTTTTTGGCAAAGTGTCTCATCCTTTTTTTACTCAAAACTCCTGTCCTGCCTATTTTTATCAAATTTCATCCTACCCCCCCCCCCCCCCCCCCCCCCCATAAAAATCAAATGGTAGCTCCCTAATTGCATACTTCAAAAAAAAAATAGGGAACCATGTGAAGTAAAGGTTCAAATATCAATATGTTTTAATGAGGGTGGCGAGAGGGGTACATACATGTGACATATGTATGCTGTAATTTTTTTCTATTCACTATAAAATAATCATTTCACTATCCTTTGTTTCTGTTATCAATACTATGTCTTGACCTTATACTAATTTTTTTATAGTTACAAAAATGTATCTTGTATTCTGTTAAGGATGTTTGCTTCTGTTTTAAAATAACAAGCTTTTTAAAAGAATGTTTTAAATTGATAGATAAAGAAAGAAACTAGAAAAGCAGAAAAAAATATCAAATTACTGGAAAAAAAAAGTAGGGGTTAGAGGGCAAAATTTTAAAATGGTACTGCATGGATAAAACCAAAGGATTCCGAATATCTGGCAAAGACTCAAAATCAAGAGGAAGGAACATCCTTAAACCTATTAACACCCTTGTAATGAATGATAATACACAGGGCGGATCCAGGGTATCAGATCATTATGGCCCCAAACTGATCCGGCCCAAGTCGATTGAATTCATATATATCTTTATTCCTTATGAATTTTTTTTTTAGGGGGCCGGGTTGACTTTAAATATGGGGCAGGATTGACATGAAAGCGGATCCAGCCATATTAAAAAGGGGGTTCCAGCACAGGATAAAAAGGGGGCTCCAACCATAAGACGCCATACAATAGCATTAGTCTTTGAAAAAAAAATTTGTAAGGGTTCCACAGAACCCAGTGTCTAGTCTACTTTTGCTGTTAGTGGCAGGCTCAACAAAAATGGGGAAAAAGTTATTAAAAATTTTCCTCTAGATACTATATCTTTTGATTGTAAGAAGTTCTGTTCAAGTTTGGTAAAAATCCAAGGATGTTTATGAAGCTAATAAATGTTTTAAAAACTTTAACTGCAGACTGTATGTAATGTTAACTGGAATAAAACTAAGTCCATACATAAGTAATATACGGAAAAACAGGAAATAAATTTTTACAAAATTTCCTTCTAGATACTAGCTTTTGATCATAAACAAGCTTCTGTTCAAGTGTGGTACAAATCCAGGATAGTTAAGAAAGTTATTAAAATTTTGAAAGCTTTAACCACGGAGTGAATGTAATGTTAACTGACAGAAAAACTAAGTCCATTTATAAGTAAAATGCGGATAAACAGGATTTTTTTTTTACAAAATTTACTTCTGGATACTATCTTATGATCATAAACAAGCTTCTGTCCAAGTTTGGTTGAAATGCAGGACAGTTTAAGAAAGTTATTTAAATTTCAAAAACTTTAACCAGAGTGAATATTTGATGACGCCGATGGAATGTAGGATCGCTATGTCTCGCTTTTGCGACAAAAGTAGCAGGCTCGACAAAAACCCAGACCCCCCTTTTTTGATCTGCTACAGATATACAACAAACCAGAGTATATTTTAAAGAAATTCAGTATTGATTATATTTTAATACTGTACAATATCATAACATGTAAATGTAACAATATTAAAGAAACAATAGAAAATTCCATATATCATGTATATGATCATCATCATTTATAATTTTGAACTTTGTGGTTAATAAAAATGAATGGTCTCATCATCATGATCATGCTCGTTAATCCTTCAACAGAAAAAAAATCCATACCTTCGTGTCCTGTCTCACCTTCTTTCACAGCCTTAAATATCATTATGTATGGATGAAGTTAACAATACCGGATTGTTACTTTTTCTTGATATTCTTTAGAGTACACAATCCTTTATACTTTCTTTGATTTAAATCCATTTGTGTTTTACAACAAAATTAATAGCACATACGTGTACATGCAGATACTGACACACATAAAGAAAGGGACAAATATATGTAGAACTAGATATTATTGAGATGGGAGCCATCTCTGTGTGCCCAGCTGTGAATAATGTGTGGTACCAAAGGACATGGGGTTGTCAACTAAAACCAAAGTTTTTGACCTTGACCTTTGACCTAGGAAGTTGTACATACATTATGACACACCCTCTGGTGTTGGTTAATATACATGTCAAGTATAAACTTTAAATTCATAACGGTTCTCAAGATATAGAGCGGACACGATCTTTACCATAGGACATGGGGTTGTCAACTAAAACCAAAGTTTTTGACCTTGACCTTTGACCTAGGAAGTTGTACATACATTATGACACACCCTCTGGTGTTGGGTTATATACATGTCAAGTATAAACTTTGAAATCATAACGGTTCTTAAGATATAGAGCGGACACAATCTTTACCATAGGACATGGGGTTGTCAACTTAAACCAAAGTTTTTGACCTTTGACCTAGGAAGTTGTACATACATTATGACACACCCTCTTGTGTTGGTTAATATACATGTCGAGTATAAACTTTGAAATCATAACGGTTCTCTAGATATAGAGCGGACACAATTTGTTACGGACATACAGACTGATCACTATATGGCGTCTGCCATTCGGCGGGGCCCTAATTAGGAAAACAGTACATGTACTAAACATTTAATTTTTAACTATACCTCCACTATCATGACTGAAGAAAGGTGGGTTACTATTTCACCTGTGTATATCAGTCCCCCACATTTTTTTTAAAACAAAATTTACATCTTTTTAATAAGCTTCAACCAGGTTGGTTCTGTGTGAAAAATGTAAAAACAAAGACAAAAGACACAATTTTTATATTTACTTTATTTTAAAACAAAGACAAACTCCCTGCGACCTTCCTGATGACAGTAATTTCAATATGACCTATGGATTTAAATTTAAAAGAACAGACAAGACAAAATTGTTGTGCTGATATTAAGAGTAATTATATATGTATATATATATCTAATAAAAACTGTAAATACGATCTTCTCATTTCATTTTTAGGCCTAGACTGTTAATAAAGAAAAATCTTAATATACAATTCAAATTCAATCTAAAATGGTCATCAGGAAAGTTTCGACCCATTCACACATGTATGCATTTGCGTATTCAATTGATGAAATATTCTTCAAATGAATACATGTATGGTAGAACATAAATGCTTCTTAACAAGATTTATAAATTAAGAACCGTGAAAAGATAAGTCTTTGTCAATTTCTTTTGCCTCATCAGTGCCTCTTATTTAGATCTATCCTGTTTATTGACAATGGATGAAAGAGTTGAATTCAGAACCTTACTACACATATGATGATTTTTACTTTCCTGCAGTGAAATTCCTTTTTCAAAGTACTATTATACATGTACATTATACTGGTATATATGTAATCAGCATGCTACAGAATATCTGTTTTGGCAATGAATACAGACATGACAGATATGATTTCTTAACCATTTCACTTTCAGTATTTATGGGAGTTCCTTATGTCAAAGCTTAGGAATCTGTTTTTTTTTTAATTCCTAAATGTAACTTAATATAATGTAGAACAGTAAAGGCCAACAAATCCTTAACTGTGCCAGTCTCTAATCTAGACATATTGCAATCAATGTACCTAATAAAAAGATGATTCATAATGTTATGCAGCACTAAATGTAGTACAAAGTTCCTGTCTCGGTCTCCCATTTCCAGATTTTACAATCAAACAATCTGCAAATGGGAACACAATGATTCTTCAGTCAGGGAATAGGAACTTTAAATATGTAGAAAATATTAAATACACAGATTGATTTTTTTAATTTTTGGTGTTTTAACGCCAATTTTAAGCACCGCTTTTGGGCTATTTCGTGGCGGCCAGTTTTTATTGGTAGAGGAAGCCGGAGAAAACCACTGACCTTCGATAGGAAAACTGACAATCCTAGTCAATTAAGATTGGAGTCGAGTGCACCCACACGAGTGGGGTTCAAACTCACAGCCTCAGTGTTGACTGGTAAGTAATTACAGTAGTAACTACTTAGACCACTCGGCCACCAAAGGCCCCTTAAATATACAGTAAAGAAGAGATAATTACATACACAGTCTTCCAAATATAAAAAATAAAATCATAATTTATAATGTATAAACAATTAAAAAGCATCTGCACCCATAATTCATGTAAATATAATATTGCACTTGACACCAGGATAAAACATACAAACAATATGACCAATCCAGCACAAAACGTTATCCGGTATCAAGGGTGCTGGCAGTTGCTTACATGTATTTCTATGTTCAATCAGAACTATACAATATGAAAGTCGAAAAAAGAAAGAATAAATATAAACATAGCTTCATTTACTTAACAACAGACAATTAAAAAGTACAACCATTTCTTACAATATCTACACACACTTAACAATTATTCACTTTCACCATGCATCTATTTGAATAAAATTAAAGTACTGATATTGCATTATCTATAAACAATATTGTTCTACTGTACTTCCACTTGCCACCATGGGCAACATAATCAAACAAAGAATCATTATAAACAATACAACACAAAACGTTATCCCGTACCAGGGGTGCTGTTAGTTGCTTATGTGTATTTCTCTATATTCAATCAAAAAGAGACATGATTAAAGTGGAAATAAAGAAGAAATAACATACTAATTTTCCATGTTTACTGGAATACAGACATATTAATTTAAAAACTATACAATCATTTCATACAACAACTACACACTTGACAATTATTCACAACTACACAACAGGCACATATCTGCATAATGTACAAATTTTACATTATCTATTAATATATATTGTTCTACTGTACTTCCACTTGCCACCATGGGCAACATGATCAAAATATAATCAATATAAACAATACAGCTCAAACATTATCCCGTACCAGGGGTGATGTTAGTTGCTTATGTGTGTTTCTCTATATTCAATCAGAAAGAGACATGATTAAAGTGGAAATAAAGAAGAAATAACATACTCATTTTCCATGTTTACTGGAATAAAGACATATTAATTTAAAAACTATACAATCATTTCATACAACAACTACACACTTGACAATTATTCACAACTACACAACAGGCATATGCATAATGTACAAATTTTACATTATCTATTAATATATATATTGTTCTACAGCACAAAACGTTATCCTGGTGTTGCAATTTCAAGCATTTTCATTACCTGTATAAAAACTGTCACTTTATTTTTTCATCCTCATGTGAAAATTGCAAAGGTTAACCATATGTGAAAATAAATGGGTTTACACTATGTTATTGTATTAAGTTTATTGTTTTTTCCAGAATTTGTAAGTGTTTTATGAACACCATATTTGAATATGTCTGAGAATAAGCTTATCTTATTTTAATACCTTTAATGTAGACAAGGCATAATTATAATCATCTTCATTATGTGCCCTAGCAATAGGTCTTAGAAGTGGAAGAACACAGGTCTTCTCTGTGTGCAGTCCATTATGTGCTGCAGTAAGCCATCTTTCCCAACTCTGCTCTCGGTGAAAATCACAAAGGTATACAAAAGAACCTAAAATGGAAGTGTTATGTTACAGAAAAGTTACCTCTGATTATTCTTGCATCATTAACATATATAATAGTTTTTATCCAGATTTAGAGTAATTTCTCCCAATTAGATTGGCTGATATTGTCTTAATAAATTACAGTGTAATTTTTTTAGCTGCTTAATAGTCTTAATATTTTTAATTTATTTTCAGTTTTAGATTTAATCTCAAAATCTATTTGGTTGAATTTAAAACTGTCCTAATAATTTCGAGCAGAGTATAATTAATATTTATGGTAAAAACCGTCATTTTTTTATTTGGAGTGGACGTCTTAAAATTTTTGTGAACCTGTGTGTTTTATTGACGTCATAAATAAAACGTTACGTAAACGCATTGTCAACATCATAAACAAGGCGATATACGGTCAGTGACTGTATATGACATATGATTATACAGTCAATGCAATTTTACTGCGCAAATCATAAGCACAGCTGCAGTATATAATTCTCGTATAAGGAAAATTGCACACTGTGTAACTTATTGTGTTGGATTAGACCAATCTAATGGTAACTTTGAAAATATAATATATCAATGTTATCTTTGCAAAACAATCAAAATCACAATAATTAAAGTACCTATAACATGTATTTTTTCTAACACATTCTTTGCATCAATTGTAAGAAGTAAATTTTATAGGCTGATATAAATTCGGCATATATAAAGTAATAGAAAGTTTAACTTGCAAACCTGGAAAAACGTTTCCAAGGGCATTGATTTCTTCAGTGGCATAGTCACACATGAAGAACTTGGGTAACCACTTGGGATTCCATTCTTTTATAACCTGCAAGGCCTCCATCAGTGAAGCGCTGTCCTTGGTCTCTGTAACAAAGGTTCCAACAGTAATGTAATTTATGTTCGTAGGCACACATAGGAAATATAATGGGAGAGAATATCTGGTTGACCTATATGTAGCATCCAAAAGGCATATCTCTTTCCCAATACAGCTCAAGAAGTCTTCTCTGCCATTGAGTTTGGTGTACATACAGGAACTTACTGTTTGTACCATATAGCTTCCTAGTGTAGGCCTCCCCTATTCTTACATCATCCTCTGCCTCTTGCTCATCACCATGATTCAATTCCAAGTCTGAGTGTGAAATTAAAATTGAAGTATATAGACTACATGTTTGTGTCCTTTTTCAGAAATTTTGTCTTATTTAAACACCCACAATATGGAAGCATCTAATATTCATAATGTTATATAAACTTCACATAATGTAATAGTCCAATATCAATGCTCTTTACAACTACATAATTCTTATATGATTTGCATATTAGGGAGTACGTTGATATGATTGGTCGCGAGGACTTCCGGTAGATGTTCTTGACGTTGTTTATTTTTAGATAGACAACGTTGACCAAACTTCTTTTTGTAACCAATGTAAACAAGATGGCGGTGATAATAACACAATCCGGCTCGACTTTACCATATTTATTTTCATTTCGCGTTAATCGTTAATTTAGATAATAAACACACAACATTTATTTGCATGATAAAGAAGAGTTTTTGTAGTAAATTTATATAAGAGAGCAAATTTCATGGAGTACATATTTTTGCGGTAACCAACAAATATATTCATGAGCCAGGCCAACTCAATGACTCACATATACAATTTACGAGTGTGGAAAAATAAATTCCTTTTCTCCTATTTTAAGAATTATAAGGATTAAACGCCTTTTTATTGGCGTATAAACTCGACCAATTCACTCACAAACATGTTATACACCAATAAATTCCTTTAAAAAGGCGTTTTATCCTATAATGGAGAGGAAAAAGAGACATAGAATTATACTTATTTTGACTAAACAATTTTTATATTATTTCCTGTTTGTATCCAATCTGAACTAGCATACAGTAACACACAAAAGATTAACATCTTTAAAGACAATATAGATATAATAATTTGTTACACCTACTGTCCTTATCTTGTTCCACATGATCTCGCTACAGACGAAGATGGAAGTTGTCTTCAGGGCGCTCACTTTTCCATTCCTTTAGCAAATCAACAACTACTTCCTAAAACAAATTAAGGTAGTTGTTGATAGACAAATGAATATAATATCAATCTGATAGGCTTGATTATGATAGTTGCTGATATACAACAAGATATAATGTCAATCTGAGAGGTTGGATTTTGGTTGTTGTTGATAGACAACAAGATATAATGTCAATCTGAGAGGTTGAATTTTGATTGTTGTTGATAGACAACACAATATGATGTGAATCTGAGAGGCTGGTTTATGATAGTTGCTGATATACAACAAGATATAATGTCAATCTGAGAGGCTGGATAATGGTTGTTGTTGATAAACAACAAGATATTATGTCAATCTGAGAGGCTGGATTATGGTTGTTGTTGATAGACAACAAGAAATCATGTCAATCTGAGAGGCTGGATTATGGTTGTTGTTGATAGACAATTCAATTTGATGTCAATCTGATAGGCTTGATTATGGGTGTTGTTGAAAGACAACACAATATGATGTCAATCTGAGAGGCTGGATTAAAGTTGTAGTTGATAGACAACAAGATGTAATGTCAATCTGAGATGCTGGATTAAGGTCGTTGTTGATAGACAACAAGATATAATGTCAATCTGAGAGGCTGGATTATGATTGTTGTCCATAGACAAGAAGAAATAATGTCAATCTGAGAGGCTGGATTATGGTTGTTGTCGATAGACAACAAGAAATAATGTCAATCTGAGAGGCTGGATTATAGTTGTTGATAGACTAGAAGAAATAATGTCAATCTGAGAGGCTGGATTATGGTTGTTGTTGATAGACTAAAAGAAATAATGTCAATCTGAGAGGCTGGATTTTGGTTTTTGTTGATAGACAACACAATATAATGTCAATCTGAGAGGCTGGATTATGGTTGTTGTTGATAGACAAAAAGAAATAATGTCAATCTGAGAGACTGGATTATGGTTGTTGTCGATAGACAACAAGAAATAATGTCAATCTGAGAGACTGGATTATGGTTGTTGTTGAAAGACAACAAGATATAATGTCAATCTGAAAGGCTGGATTATGGTTGTTGTTGATAGACAACACAATGTAATGTCAATCTGAAAGGCTGGATTATGGTTGTTGTTGGAAGACAACTTAATTTGATGTCAATCTGAGAGGCTGGATTATGGTTGTTGTTGATAGACAACACAATATAATGTCAATCTGAGAGGCTGGATTATGATAGTTGCTGATATACAACAAGATAGGTGTTTTAACACCACTTTTAAGCACCGCTTTTGGGCTATTTCGTGGAGGCCAGTTTTTATTGGTAGAGGAAGCTGGAGTGCCCGGAGAAAACCACCGACCTTTATACAACAAGATATAATGTCAATCTGAGAGGCTGGATTATGATTGTTGTTGATAGACAACAAGATATAATGTCAATCTGAAAGGTTGAATTTTGATTGTTGTTGATAGACAACACAATATGATGTGAATCTGAGAGGCTGGATTATGGTTGTTGTTGATAGACAACACACTATGATGTCAATCTGAAAGGCTGGTTTATGATAGTTGCTGATATACAACAAGATATAATGTCAATCTGAGAGGCTGGATTATGGTTGTTGTTGATAAACAACAAGATATCATGTCAATCTGAGAGGCTGGATTATGGTTGTTGTTGATAGATAACAAGAAATCATGTCAATCTGAGAGGCTGGATTATGGTTGTTGTTGGTAGACAACACAATATAATGTCAATCTGAAAGGCTGGATTATGGTTGTTGGAAGACAACTTAATTTGATATCAATCTGAGAGGCTGGATTATGGTTGTTGGTAGACAACTTAATTTGATATCAATATGAGAGGCTGGATTATGGTTGTTGTTGATAAGAAAACACAAAATAATGCCAATCTGAGACGCTGGATTAAAGTTGAAGTTGATAACAACAAGAAATAATGTCAATCTGGGAGGCTTGATTATGGTTGTTGGTAGACAACACAATATGATGTCAATCTGAAAGGCTGGATTATGATAGTTGCTGATATACAACAAGATATAATGTCAATCTGAGAGGTTGGATTTTGATTGTTGTTAATAGACAACACAATAAGATGTGAATCTGAGAGGCTTGATTATGGTTTTTGTTGGTAGACAACACAGTAAAATGTCAATCTGAGAGGCTGGATTATGGTTGTTGTTGATAGACAACAAAATATAATGTCAATCTGAGAGGCTGGATTATGGTTGTTGTTGATAGACAAGAAGAAATAATGTCAATCTGAGAGGCTGGATTATGGTTGTTGTTGATAGACAACACAATATAATGTCAATCTGAGAGGCTGGATTATGATAGTTGCTGGTATATAACAAGATATAATGTCAATCTGAGAGGCTAGATTATGATAGTTGCTGATAGACAACAAGATATAATGTCAATCTGAGAGGCTGAATTATGGTTGTTGTTGGTAGACAACTTAATTTGATGTCAATCTGAAAGGCTGGATTGTGGTTGTTGTTGATAGACAACAAGATATAATGTCAATCTGACAGGCTGGATTATGGTTGTTGTTGATAGACAACTTAATTTGATGTCAATCTGAAAGGCTGGATTGTGGTTGTTGTTGATAGACAACAAGATATAATGTCAATCTGACAGGCTGGATTATGGTTGTTGTTGATAGACAACACAATATAATGTCAATCTGAGAGGCTGGATTATGATAGTTGCTGATATACAACAAGATAGGTGTTTAAACACCACTTTTAAGCACCGCTTTTGGGCTATTTCATGGAGGCCAGTTTTTATTGGTGGAGGAAACCGGAGTGCCCGGAGAAAACCACCAACCTTTATACAACAAGATATAATGTCAATCTGAGAGGCTGGATTATGATTGTTGTTGATAGACAACAAGATATAATGTCAATCTGAGAGGTTGAATTTTGATTGTTGTTGATAGACAACACAATATGATGTGAATCTGAGAGGCTGGTTTATGGTAGTTGCTGATATACAACAAGATATCATGTCAATCTGAGAGGCTGGATTATGGTTGTTGTTGATAAACAACAAGATATCATGTCAATCTGAGAGGCTGGATTATGGTTGTTTTTGATAGATAACAAGACATCATGTCAATCTGAGAGGCTGGATTATGGTTGTTGTTGGTAGACAACACAATATAATGTCAATCTGAAAGGCTGGATTATGGTTGTTGGTAGACAACTTAATTTGATATCAATCTGAGAGGCTGGATTATGGTTGTTGTTGATAAGGAAACACAATATAATGCCAATCTGAGACGCTGGATTATAGTTGAAGTTGATAACAATAAGAAATAATGTCAATCTGGGAGGCTTGATTATGGTTGTTGGTGGTAGACAACACAATATGATGTCAATCTGAAAGGCTGGATTATGGTTGTTGTTGATATACAACAAGATATAATGTCAATCTGAAAGGCTGGATTATGATTGTTGTTGATAGACAACACAATAAGATGTGAATCTGAGAGGCTTGATTATGGTTTTTGTTGGTAGACAACACAGTAAAATGTCAATCTGAGAGGCTGGATTATGATTGTTGTTGATAGACAACAAGAAATAATGTCAATCTGAGAGGCTGGATTATGGTTGTTGTTAATAGACAACACAATATAATGTCTATCTGAGAGGCTGGATTATGGTTGTTGTTGATAGACAAGAAGAAATAATGTCAATCTGAGAGGCTGGATTATGGTTGTTGATAGACAACACAATATAATGTCAATCTGAGAGGTTGGATTATGGTTGTTGTTGATAGACAACAAGATATAATGTCAATCTGAAAGGCTGGATTATGGTTGTTGTTGATAGACAAGAAGAAATAATGTCAATCTGAGAGGCTGGATTATGGTTGTTGTTGATAGACAACACAATATAATGTCAATCTGAGAGGCTGGATTATGATAGTTGCTGATATATCACAAGATATAATGTCAATCTGAGAGGCTGGATTATGGTTGTTGTTGATAGACAACAAAATAAAATGTCAATCTGAGAGGCTGGATTATGGTTGTTGTCGATAGACAACAAGAAATAATGTCAATTTGAGAGGCTGGATTATGGTTGTTGTTGATAGACAACACAATATAATGTCAATCTGAGAGGCTGGATTCTGATAGTTGCTGATATACAACAAGAAATAATGTCAATCTGAGAGGCTGGATTATGGTTGTTGTTGGTAAACAACACAATATGATGTCAATCTGAAAGGCTGGATTATGGTTGTTGTTGATAGACAACAAGATGTAATGTCAATCTGAGAGGCTAGATTATGATAGTTGCTGATAGACAACAAGATGTAATGTCAATCTGAAAGGTTGGATTATGGTTGTTGTTGATAGACAACAAGATGTAATGTCAATCTGAGAGGCTAGATTATGATAGTTGCTGATAGACAACAAGATATAATGTCAATCTGACAGGCTGGATTATATTTGTTGTTGGTAGACAACTCAATTTGATGTCAATCAGGCTTGATTACTGTTGTTGTTGATATGCAACAACATATATTGTCAATAGTAGAGGCTGGATTATGGTTGGGATCTAGCTTAAATGTTAACCCCGCCACATTCTGTCTGTATGTGCCTGTCCCAAGTCAGGAGCCTGTTACTCAGTGGTTGTTGTTTGTTGCTGTGTTACATATTTGTTTTTCATTCATTTTTTTTTTTATACATTAATAAGGCCATTAGTTTTCTTATTTGAATTGTTTTACATTTGTGATTGCATGGCCTTTTATAGCTGACTATGCAGCATAGGCTTGCTGAAGGCCATATGGTGACTTTTAGTTGTTAATTTCTGTGTCATTTTATTCTCATGTAAAGAGTTGTCTCATTGGCAATCATACCACATGTTCTTTTTTGTAATTTTATTATTCAAATCCAAAGATACCTGATCAATTTCCTTGTTTCTTTGTTTCTTTACTGCAAGGGCAATGTGGTTCTTGATATCTACATTTGATGGCCAAAATCTCTTATTTATGATGGCGGGAATATCCTGTCCTTGGAAAAGTGTTGTCTTCGTGTATACTTCTAGTAGTACTCTCATCTGTGGTACACTGGTGATGTTTTCTTCCCATACCATTTTCCTGATGTATTCCTTCAATCTGTCATCTATTCCAGGTATTAAGCTTGCTGACTACAACAACAGATATATTGTTTCAATTCCAATTGTAAATTTTAAAATAAGAATAAGTTGGTTACTGGAGACACAGTTTTCTCCAATCTTTAGAAAATATCAGTAAGCATAAATTTGTTCAGTTGACCATTATACAGTCAAAGAATAAACAGAAAATATTGTTTTAATATTTGGAAGTAAATCACATTGCTTACCCTTGAATGCAAAAATTACGAACAATAACTATTCTGGTAAATAGTGAAAGACTTCAAAATATGAATTATTTCAAAACTATAAATTTTCTCTTCATGCAGTCTTGTCTAATTTTTTTCTAATATGTTGTCTAATATTCATTTATCTGGTGTATCTTCAAAGTTCTACTTTTACATTTTAAGTAATACAAGTAAAACTAGTACATTTATTAAGTTTACAGTCTACAAAAAAAGCATTAATATTTTTTTTTACATAATCATGGTGAAATTGGCATATGGCCTTAATCATACTGATTTGTACCTCTCCTCTTAGATGGTTTTGGTGTTCAGTTGGGCCTGGAAATGCTGTATAGAATTGATCCTGCATATTGATTTGCTTCTTGTCCAAAACCAATTTCTTTATCTCAACCGAAATCAAATCTTTCTCATATGTCGTACTTATTCCAGTGGTCTAAATGTAAAACAATTATTCATTTATGAAAATCAGAGAAATTAACTTTGCTTTGTAGACATAGTATTACTGTTTTTAATGAAAGCAGGTATAGTTTGAAAAATCTATGTTAGATTACATAAATATCTAAATATATTTAAAACCATATAAACTTAACTTTTTTTTTGCCATTAATGTTTTTTTTTGTTTTTAATAGCCTAAAATATGTTTTAAAAAACCCTAATTACAGTGGATTTCATATTTTCCAAGTCCTAATTACAGTGGATTTCATATTTTCCAAGTCCATAGAATTGAGGTACTGACTACTGTTAAAATCAAATCAACATTTATCTTTTAGAGTACAATAATTTCAGTATGTAATTAAACAGTTCACAAATTAAAGAAGCTTGACATTGATATTGTCATGCAGATAAAATGAACTCACCATTACTATAACATGTGTCTGTCAGAACTTCTTCATAGGTAAAAAAATCAAAGAAACATGCAAATAAAAAGTAAACTCAAATAAAAACAAACAAGCAATATATATATGCTGAAAGAAAAAAACAAGTAAATTAAAGAAAAACTAATGGATCAAAATTGTCAACATGAATCATGATTGTTTCTCTGCAGGTTTTCAATTCAAGCAATTTAAACTATCATGATTATAAGACAATCAAATCTGTCAAAATAAATGAGTGTTTCACTTAAAGCTGACCTTTCTTAAATTCAACTGTGAGAAAAACCATGTCAAGTAATTTAAAGAACAAGAAATATCAACTTTTTAAAGAAACAATTCACAAAAAAAAATTTCAGTGAAATTGTATAGAGGCAATTAGTGTATTCTATTTACAGGAAGAAGACTCATGTTTATACAGTCTTCACACTCAACCACAGGCCCACCTGCCCAAGAATGTAAAAATGTCTTCGGGCCTGTAAAAATCATCTCTACAGGCCAATAGAATCTAACTAAAATTTTCGTATAATTCAGCTTTAGGCCTGTAGCTTCAAAAGTTTATCATGAAGACTGTTTATATACTATAATTTACATTGTATGATTTTCTAATAATACAGCTTATTCCAAGTCTATATATACAAATGTATTGCTGTTAAGAATTGATGAGTATCACAAATCACTGACTTTAATATAACACTTTCACAAAAATAAACTGAAGAAAAAAAGAACATCAAACAAGGATATCAACCATATTATACATACCTTGTAGTCAGGAAATCTAACAATATGCCTTATCCTCAATTTAACTCCACAGTTCTTCTTTTTAGTTGGTTGAATTTGTCTCCTCTGTCTACTGAAGTCATGGTCCTCCTGTGATAAATTTGTAACATAGTTATGTATATATAAATACAATTTGTTTTGCATGCACACGTATAAAAATTGCGGTTTTTATCCAACGCAATCATAGGTTTGAACGTTATTTTCAATTTAGACTCGTGTATATATATATATATATATATTTTGTTTTTATTATACATGATTTAAAAAAAACACAACAAATATGGTCAGGGTACAAACAAGGATTTTTTGAGTCATTTAAAAAGTGTAATTTAACAGGAACTTTGTATTACTTGCATGTGCTTTCAAAAATCTTTTTTAGTGAACAAATGAGATAAAATGCTAATAACAAAATAGTACCAGTTTCTTGTTTACTAGTAAATAAACTTCATTCCTAATAGTAAAAAACAATGAACACTTATAATGGCAATTACGAAATGATAATCAGTAAATTGTAGTAAACAAGCTCAGGTGATGTATTTTCAAATTCCCTCAAATTACCATCTCTTATTCATTTGCTAGTTGAGAGATATCATCTTGATACAGATACTAGCTGTAATCAAATAATCTGTTATCAAATTGAAAAGAAATATGATGGATGTACCGTTTGTACTGAGGAGACTGCATTTCCTCATTATGTAGGCCATGTCCATCATTATGCCGAGCAATTATTTCAATAAATTTCAAACATATATGACTTGAAATACAGGTATAATTAAATCATAGACTATGTTCACTTTTACACGTTACACCTCATCACATTAAAAACCTGTGTCATGATACACTGTACTGTACAAGTAAGTTATTGAAAAGATAAATAATATAGTTTACATTTCTTTGTCTCATTTTTTCTTTTCATCTTTCGATTCTTGTCTCTATCTAACCCTTGGTGACACTCCAACAACTTCTTTCCAACAACAATAAAGGGTACACCAGTAGATGGTATAATAGGCACTGCATCTGGCTGGGGATCCTTGAACCAGATCTTTTTCATCATGTTCATAACAGCAGAAAAATCTGTCAAAATACAACAAGTCTGCAATATTAATATATCTAAAAGTAATATTGTTTTAAAGTACAATATTAACATAAGAAATGTGGTATGATTGCCAATGAGACATGTACATATTTTTTAGGCTTATAATACTTTTTATTTGTTCTTGTTTACCTTGTTCATTCAAAATATGTCTATAGTATATACATTGGTGGTCTTGATTTGTCTTGTACATTTAGGTTGGTTTGTTGTCTCCTTCTTCGACACATTCCCTGTTTCCATTCTTTATTATAATGTTCGAGTACGAGTAAAAGGTGCCAGTTTTTAAAAGAGGTCTGAAAGCACTCTAGGGGCGGAGACTACGCATGCGACATCTTTGCCACATTCATAATAGTCAGTCCTATATTTTACTCCATTTTTTAACATGGTCATGGTGTAATATTGAGTACACTATACACAGTACACTGATAATAAACTGTTTAAGGTTTCTAAATTTTAATGCTCCTTGTTTAAGTTCAATTTACAGTTGCGGAGACTGATTTATGGGAAGGGGGTATTATACATGTAATATATATGGAATCACTGAAGCATGACTGAAGATTGAAGGGCCCCCTCTTTAGGTTTTTATGGCTATTCAGTCAATGCTCCACACCTTCTGGATCTGCCATTGAGCAGCTTTTATAATATATTAATAAAGATAACAGATTCTGACTGATGTAATTTCAGCTCCGGCATGAATTTTTGTTGACAAGTTGTATAATTTTATAAAAACGTACGTGTATATAATATACAAATCCTTCATATATAGGAAAGCACTGTCCGTCCAACATTTCAGTATGTACTTTTATTATGTATTTATGTCTTTTATAAATCTTTTCATATGTTTGATTAATTTGATTCTCGAAACTTATGAGCCATACAAGTTAGGGAATGTGTAAATAGCAAAACCAGAAACTAAGAAACCAGAAATCAGAAACCAGAAACCAGAAACAAGAAATTAAAAATATTTAATATTGAATATGCTCCTAATAACTAATTATAATTGACCTGATATAAATTCACATGTATAACTGATAAGGACTCTGATCTTTATGCACCTGCTGTAGCAGAAAAACTTATCAATTGTAATAAAACTTAATTATCTACAAAAAAGTGTCAGTTCAGTGTTAGACTGCATATACATAACTTGTTACAGATTTTTAATTGTGTTGAAAGGTTTACATTGTTTATAGATGTTTTAATAATGTGTTTACTATAGTAAAGGGTTCCTCCATTTGACATAGTTTATTATTATGTCAACGAACTTGGCCAGCTTAAACTATCACTCAGGCTGGAATTTGTCCATTACCATATTAACACACAGTGTATTTTGAAGAAAGATTCATTATTCGATGGACAGAAAATTCTCTTTACACCCCTTTTTTCTTTCGGTTTTTCGCTAAACCCTAATGGTTACATTGACATTTGAATCATCTCTTCAATATTTTTTGTCATTTTTGTGAAATTTAATACTGATATGACACCCTTTTACTTTTTAACTTCATTCAGTATTAACCAAAATATTAGGGGGAACAGCAATTAAACCAGCATCTAACATGCCCAATATCTACATGCTTGAATTATAGTCATTGTATAAACAGTTGAAGATTGTGTCATCTTTCTCTATTTTATACATTTTTACATAGAAACTATGAACAGTGTAACTGATGATTGTTTTTTATTCTATTTCCTTGTGGCCATCTGACCACCATTTATTTAAATGATTAAATAACATTGAAAGACATGTTTACAGGTAGAATGTAAAACAATATTAAAACATCTATAATCAATGTTTACCTTCCAACACAATTAAAAATCTGTGTATTAACAAGTAATAATTAATGTATGCAGTCTAACACTGAACTGACACTTTTTTGTATGTGATTAAGTTTTGTTCATCTGATAAGGTTTTCAGCTACAGCAGGTGCATAAAGAACAGTCCTTATCAGTTATAAATGTGTAATTATATCATGTCAATTATATTTAGTTATTTAAAAAAAATAATATTCACATGATATACTTTTTATATTTTGTTTCTTGTTTCTGGTTTCTGATTTCTTGGTTTCTGGTTTTGCTATTTACACATTCCCTACAAGTTATGTCTTAAGTTATGACCCGTATCAGTACCTGTTCCCTCTAATCCAAAATATTTGTCTTTTTTCACTACTCTAAACTTTGAGTTTGTATCAATTTCATATTCTCTTATGGCCAGTTGTATTTCAGAGAACGATTTCAATGAAATTTCTGTCATCTCTTTACGTATAAATTAGTTAACTTGTGTATAATGTTCGCTGGTATTCATAATTGCTTCTTTATTTCCCGCTTTGAATAACATTAATTCTAATACGAAAATAAAATTCGGTATCATTTCCGGAATCTGAGAAGCCTCCATAGGATATAAGGTCCACCTTCCGTAGCAAGAGGGGGGGGGGTGCTTGCACGGAAAAAACGTGAAACGTGAAATAATTTCTGTCATGAACGTTGCACGAATAATAAAGACTTTGATGTGAACCTTTTGTGAATGAGTCACTGTCTTCTTGTATATATGAACTCTCTGTTTTACTTGATATTCCCGATTTAGTATACGCATTTATGATATAAATGGTTTACGGTTTTAAAAAAAGTATATAGGGGCCTAACGATCTTCTTAACTTTTAAAATGCAAATATCCCGCAGACACGAAAGTGTATTCTTGATCTATTTCACTGTCTTTATTACTGACAAGAATACACACGTTGTCATGTTATACGTGCCACCAGCTAGCCGCTACCACGACTCGTGGTTAAAAGTATCAGAAATAGGAAGTTTGAACTGAGAGATGATGAAAAGTGCAAACACGTTAAAGCTCATCACTGTTAAGATGTCGATCCTATTTAAAGTCATTCTTTTCATTTTACCAAAAAATTCAAAGAATCGGCAATGAGGTAGCATGTATCTAGGAGATCCAAAACGTGTTCACAAGTTAAAAACATATCAGATTTGAACTTGATATGAAGTCATTATGTAAAGTTGTTTCTTAGATCCCTGCAAAGTGTTTGAATTTTATTTGAAAAATACCGAGCACGCAAAATAAGCATTTGAAAATCACGATGCACGTAAAATTAAATAAGCAGAACACGTTGAACGAGGCACCTGTCTTGCACGACTGAACGTCAAATAAAAAAGTAAAACACGTTGAACGTGATATAAAAAACGGCGATCACGTTGCACGAAAATAAACCCTTTACCACCCTCTTCTAATATGCTATTTTACCGGCTCCGGCAAAATAGCCTCCTTAGCGCTATTTTACCGGCTATATCTTTGCTATTTACTAATTTAGCCGGTCTAATTTCAGATTTTTTTTCAAACTATATGAAATTAATTTTCTATCAAAATTACTTATATCCATAACCAAGGATTTGTATATTCTCACTATACAAATCCCTGCCACTGATGATAACCCAGCATAACCTTTTAATCCTGGCTTTGCCTTCACGGTGTGGTTTATTCACTTTCAGGCGCGTAGCTACGTTTACGTCAAAACGTCCTGGCGAACACATGAATTTTGGAGATTTTAAATGAATTAAAAGAATTGGTTAAAAGCACATGAACCTTGCCATTCTTTCTTCAATGCCTTGTGATTGAAGATAAAAGTGACGTAATTTCGTTTAACTCAAACAGTACCATATTTATATCTATTTGTTCATTTTCTATCACTACTATGCATCATGAGAGATTATCCACATAAAGCTTGATGCATATTCACCAAAAAATCCAAATGAATGTAAGGAGTTATAGAAACATTTGATTGATCATCCACGCAACAAGAAGAAAATGTCAGTACTGTACTAATACTGACTTTCAAATACATTTTACTTCTTACGTATTGACTGTCGATATTCGTGCTCTCTAGTTCAAGCGAAACACTGCAAAAGCAATGATTTATACACTTATAGCTTTTATTCTCAATATCGTGCAAATCTTTACATTTGATTGTTTGATAACTATACGTATTTTGACTGAAGTTTTCTGTATTCTGCAAAGCAAGACTTTGTCGGGTTTTATGGACTTTTAAGTACTCTCAGATCTGTTCTTTGTGTCTTTTGTGTTTTTGTTAGATTCTTTTTTGTTCTTTGTATCGATCTGACGAGATAAGCCTTTTTAACAGATTTTTTTATAGTTTGTTCTGATGTTGTACTGTTACACCACTGTCCCCGGTTAGGGGAGGGTTTGCCGGCAGTCAAAATGTTTAATCCCGCCACATTCTGTATGTGCCTGTCCCAAGTCAAGAGCCTGTAATGCAGTGGTTGGCCGTTTGTTGCTGTATGTCACTTTGTTTTCTATTATTGTTTTGTACATAAATCAGGCCGTCAGTTTTCTCGTTTTAATTGTTTTACATTTGTCATTTCCGGACCTTTATAGATTACTATGCGGTACAGGTTTTGCTCATTGATGAAGGCCGTATGGTGACCCATAGTTTTTAACTTTTACGTCATTAGGTCCTGGTAGAGGGTTGTATCATAAGCAACCATACCACATCTTTTTATTTTAATATTCCCCTTTTTGAATTACCGTTTGGCTGTGCGATGAATACATAGACACGTCCGATCGGAATGAAGACGTTAAATTCGATGCTTCTTTCATCGTTCACGAATACCACCAACATCACTAAGGTCTTGATAAACACAACGTGCACCACTAATGTAAGAACACATCGTTCATATATTTGGTGGTGTTCATGGTCCGCTTATATAGGTAGATTATACAAGGCAAACTTGCTGACTTTATTAATCATACCAGTACCCTCTTATCCAAGTGGGTGGAGATTTGTCCAGTCCTTCATTCTGGTGGACCAAATTTGCAGAACTGACCTAGAAAACAACAATGAATGAATCTATCCAAAGAAACACTACGTATATATTCTATTTATAATACCGATATTGAAGGATTAGGTGCTTTCCTGCTCATTTATTTTATTGTGCGTTCTTATTGTACTTTTTGTTAGTTCAATTGTTCCAAATTAAAAAAGAGAGGGTTAGGTGAATAAACAATCTAGTTAAGCCTCGTCACATGTTTACGTGTGCCTGTCCCAAAACAGAACTACATACAAGAGCTTCCTGAAATTCGTTATCAGGCTTCATGTGCACATACTTTACCATGTAATGCGTTGTTAGATTTATTTCTCTCCAACTTCCTGATTACCAAAGAGTTAAAGCGGAGGTATCAGTAGTGAGCAATAGCTCACAGTTTTACTTGTTTTACCTAATAATTTGAAATATTTAACTGCACACTAAACTAAGAATGACTAATCAAAGACAACGATTGTAACAAAAAATAAGATCTAATGAACCTTCTGAGCAGTGACAAATACTTCAATCTAAACTCATTTCTGCTTAAAAAGATTGTTTATAATTTATATTATGTTCGGTATTCGCTTGCATACAGTAATAAAAACAGTCGAAAAATCTGTATTATAAATGCGTTTAATAAAATTACATGGTAAAATAATACATAATATTTTAACAAAACGAAGTAGAATATCTAAAAAATTCCGAGTAAATCTGCATCAGATATACAACTATCTGTGTAGTCCTTTAAATCAATTAGATGGAAGTAGATCGTGTGATCTTTTCTGAAAATGGAAGAGAATTGGCGTGACCTGTTTGTATTATGATCCCATCTCGTCAGGTACATCTGGCTTAGGTCCATACACCTCTTTGTTTTGTACTATCAGCTGAAAGAATATAATGCACAATCTAATATTTTAAAATGTATTTACATTTCTCAAAGTATTTCAAATCTTTTGACCAAACAATAAAAAATCAAACCTAAAGAGACTATGCTTAAAATAACACCTTTCTAAAAACTTTAAAATTGATACTTTCTTTAGAATACAACCTTTAAATACTTCATTGACACACAAGTATTCTTAATGAAAACTAAACACAGTTCTTCTCATGAAGTTTCCAACTCGAGACATTGATGTGATAGACAAAGGGGACATAACTTTTGTTTAAACGTGAAATTAAACATTTTACTCACTGGAAGTGTTGCTGAATTCTTTAGCAGGTTAGATGATACCGCATGTTGCTTATTTGCAAAACTAGAATAAGATAAAATAATGAAAACAAAATTGATACTAATATTTACCATGACTAAAGTGTGTAAGAGATTTAAATATAGGTAGCATGTTAAAGGCGCTTGGGGCATGAACCCCCCTAAAGAAAAGCTACATAAAAACACCAAAACAAAAAAAAAAGAAAGAAAAGAAAAACGGAGTCTTTGTCGTGAGAGCCTGTGAACATTATCTGAACAAAATTTCATTTACATTAATAGAGGCTAAAAAGTTCCTGCTCGGGACTTTAATAATGTACAACTTTTTCTTTGAATATACAATAAACCATCAAGCAGGCTGATGGTTATTTACGGTTGAATGCGTGGCCTATTTACAAAAATGAATCAACAAAGTAAATATGGAATACAACAATTTGAAAGAAGTATTCGTCAGTACAATGATTCAAGCATCTTGTGTTTTTAGTTTTATACTAAAAAAGGATTCATGACACCTTTCAGGTATTTGATAAACAAATACATAGTTTCCATTGCTGTTCTCCATCTCAAAGCAACAGGGAGTTATTACACCCTGCGAGATAAAGACTGTCCTTAGCACTTATTTGATTGAGAATATACAGAACGAAAGAAAAATTTCGAGTATTGAACACGTAAGGAATTGTCGTACGAATAAATGTTGTGTTAGCTACAAATGGTATTACTTGCTTTGTGTGTTGTTTGTTTTTGTTGTGTATGAATGGTAAAAGTGTGATTTGTTTGTTATGGGTAGTATTGTAGTATAGGTTGAGACATGAGCTTTAAATGAACAAATTATACTGAGTAAATATAAAGTTTGGCAACATTATATTTTAATTCCTAAAAAAAACTTAGAATTCAATTTTTTTTAGAATTGCGGAAATAAAGTTTTAATAATTATTTTTTTCCGAGTATAAATTGTATCTTATGGTTTATTTTCTCCGTTACAATAAGTAAATTATTGTCATGTTTAGAAGTAAAGTTTTTAATTTTGAAATATACAAAATAATAAATACGTGTTGCTTAACTTTTTTAGCTCAGTATATTATCGCATGTCATTGATATTTTCGTTTTCGGATTTAGGTTTACATTATAAAAAGTGTTGGAAGTTTGTTTATATACCTGACGTCTGGGTCTCGGTTTGAAGTGAAAATCATAAATGACGTGGCAAAAATAGCTACTCCGATCGTTCCGCCCACTATGCACATTACCTAAATAATTAATAAAAATAGAATGTATAATGTAACCCCTCCCACTCATACATGTCCAAGACATACCTAGATGTCGATATCGTCGATATCGACAATGTCGACACGATATCGAATCGATATCGATGAACTTATACACTCGTATCATAACCAGATGTAGATTTTGATGACGACACCAATGACAAAACCTGATGTCGATATCGTCGATACCGACTCGATATCGATGATGACTTAAGATAATGAATAAAAGAAAGACGTATCAAGCTGATTAAATTAAGACCAATTATGAAGATTGATATAGGGATAGATGATGGCTGAATTGTAATCTATTTATTCTTTAAAAAGACAATCAGGTGGTCACTTCTACACATTACTGTATCCTTTAAAACAAATTAATGTATTCTTCCAAAAAAAAATATTTATTTGGTTTTATAACGTTGACATGGTAATTTTGGTGCTAACTAAGTGAGATATGGTTGCATACAATGATCGTAAAACAGTACACACATTACTTTCTATGTAAAATTCAAATCCATTGGATGTGAACTGGTTCCCATTTCTTCAAATAGAGAAAACATGGTTTATTTTTTGGTTGAAATTAGATTTTAACTTGATTTGAATAGTTTCGAGTACTCTTAGATCGGTACTTTGTGATTTTGTTTATTTGTTGTTGTTCTTCGTGCCGATTTAATAAGTCAAGCCTTTTCCATGTGAATTTTATGTATTGATGCAACACCACCGTCCTAGATTAAGCAAAGGGTTAACGCTCAAGTTGAACCCCGCCACATCCTCAATGTGACTGACCTTTCTCAAGAGTTCTTTGATTAAATGTTTGTCGTCGGTAGCTGTCAGTTATATTTGATTTTTGTTTATCATTCATACATAAATTAGAATGTTTGTTTTCCCATTTGAAATATTTGACATTTTGTCAAGCCGGTATTATTGTTAATCTTTGATGAAGACTGTACAGACGTATAGTTGTTAGCATCCTCATCCTTTTTGTGTTTGGTGGTCTGTCGTCTCATTGCAAATCGTACAACATCCCAATATCTTAATGTGTAATTAAGGTACGTATACTAAACTAAACGAAATGAATAGAGAAAATGTTTAAATGTTGATATGGAATTGATATCGTCGACATATTGAATAGACGAACCAGGAGAAACTAAATTGTCTATAAAGATAATTGTAGCAGATAAAATTTTGGAACATGAAGTGTCGATATCGACTCGATGTCGTCGATATCGACATCTTAAAACACACGAAGCAGGAGAAACTAAATTGTCTATACAGATAACTGTAGGAGATAGTCATTTGAAACATAATGTGTCGATATCGATTCGATATCGTCGATATCGACGTCTTAAACGGACGAACTGGGGAGGCCTCGAACCGGGAGAAACTAAATTGTCTTAATAGATAACTGTAGGAGATAATCATTTGAAACATAATGTGTCGATATCGACATCTTTATCCGACGAATATGAGAAACTAAATTGTGCATATAGATACTGTAGCAAATAGACATTGGATTATAATTTGTCGATATCTACTCGATATTGTCGATGTCGTCGATATCGAAACTACATCGTGTCTTGGACATACCTCCATTTATCTTTTTAGACAATTTAGTTTCCCAGTTCGTCCATTTAAGACGTCGATATAAACGATACCGACTCAATATCGAATCGATAACGACAAATTATGTTTCAAATGACTATCTCCTACAGTGATCTGTATAGACAATTTAGTTTCTCCTGCTTCGTGTGTTTTAAGATGTCGATATCGACGATTTCGACGACATCGAGTCGATATCGACACATTATGTTCCAAAAGTTTATCCGCCCACTTTGCACATTACCTAAATAATTAATAAAAACAGAATGTATAATGTAACCCCTCCCACTACTCTGAATATACCGTATCGGTTGGTAAAAGCAGAGACATAATACCAACATGCTATGTCTGTTGTAAAAGTAGTCTTAACTAAATTTTAGAAGACATATACGTTTTTTCTTACTTTTCATCTCTGAATGCAATACCGAATAAAAGAACAGAGTTCCAATGTCCCCCGCGTTGCAAATATTTTATATTTCTAAGGGGCATAACTCTTTTAAAAAAGGTTGATCGTCCACCATTATAGAACGTGTCTGAAATATTGCTGATATAAACCTATAATATAAGTTTTATAAAAATCTGGTAAGAATTGTACCCGTGAGAGCGCTAACAAGACCATTTTCCATAAATTTAATATTTCCAAGGGGCATAACTCTTTTAACGCCCGGTATTTCCATGTCCCCCGCAACGCGTTACGCAGGTGACAAAAACGCATTTACAAACCAGTTACAAGTAAGTAAGTGGGTAAGTATTATTATTCGGCATATTGACAAGCATTTGAATACAAAATCTGGTAAGAATTGTACCCGTGAGAGCGCTAACAAGACCATTTTCCATAAATTTAATATTTCCAAGGGGTATAACTCTTTTAACGCCCGGTATTTCCATGTCCCCCGCAACGCGTTACGCGGGTGACAAAAATGCATTTACAAACCAGGTACAAGTAAGTAAGTGGGTAAGTATTATTATTCGGCATATTGACAAGCATTTGAATACAAAATCTGGTAAGAATTGTACCCGTGAGAGCGCTAACAAGACCATTTTCCATAAATTTAATATTTCCAAGGGGTATAACTCTTTTAACGCCCGGTATTTCCATGTCCCCCGCAACGCGTTACGCGGGTGACAAAAATGCATTTACAAACCAGGTACAAGTAAGTAAGTGGGTAAGTATTATTATTCGGCATATTGACAAGCATTTGAATACAAACTCTGATGATCTTTTCAACGAATATAAAAAACTTATACAATAATAAATAAAACAAGGCATGCAGTATGCAAATAGTTATAAAACAGCACCACGTTAACTGCGAACACTAAAAGAACATATGAAGCACTTAGAATAACTATACACAGATGATAATTTATAAAAAAAAAAAATACAACTTAAATCTGGTCAGTAAATAATATAAAGTAAAACTACATGTATCTATAAATACAAAAACACCTATTTCTCCCAGAGTATTTGAAACAAATCGACAAACAAAATTATGTCGGTTAAAAGCTCATTAGAGCTTACCGTAGAAAGGCTTGTATAGTTCGCAGTGGTACATAGTCCGCACCCCCTTCTCCCCACGAAATTTTAGGTAAAAAAACTTTTTGTAACTGTTAGAAAAGGTCTAATGAAACTCCGGTAATTTCAAATCCTGTGCGGTCGTTTGCGGTATTTTCTTTGAAAAACCTGTTTTCCATCATCAAACAGAAGCTGAAACTGCTTGTTAATGATTCTAGAACGCTTCATGATTGTTAAAATAAGTTTAATTCACTTAAAAAACAATTTAGATACTTGTGTATGTTTAAACAGGAAGTTTAAAAAGCACGTGTAAAAGAAGAAATTAACCGGTGAGAGTCGAAATCCGTACATAACAGATATCACTATAATACGACTTTGAAAGTAAAACAGTTCCATCCTTTTGTAAAACAGTCTTTAATATATCTATCACATTAATGTTTGAAGGGTCTTAAGCTAATACAAACCATATTAGTCAGTATGAAACACCAAAACGGAACGAACAATAACCGATTTCGTTTTGTAGTTTACAAATTCTAAGCTGGTTTACGGTTGTCTTTTTCACTATGTTTGTATCGTTTCAATCGAGCAGATACCAGTTTATTTCAACCAATGCATTGAAAAGAAACGAGAAATTTGTAATTAAAGGTTTAGTTTTTATATTTATCAGTATTAATTTGATATTGAATAGAAATAACTTATTAATATGGATGAGTTAAAATTATTAGTTTGAAAAATGAAAAGAGCGCCCTCTACAATAGAAATAACAAAGATGGCGGAACGTAAACAAACCACCTCGACCGCGAAATTGAAATTTTTCTCTTATTTCTTGCTTATTGTACTCTATAGTCCGCACCCCGTCTGGAAGGTCCAATTTTGGAGGATAAAACCGCGGACTAAACAAGCCTTTCTACGGTATGTTGTCTCTGTTTGTATACCTTGCCGACTCTAAATAAAGCTTATTTATTTATTATTTATATTCATAATTGTTATATAACATATGATTAGAATTTTTTAGCTGATTGGTTAATATTGAATTACTTGGACAAAACATTGATGCTTAACATAAATTGCATATAATCAAGAGACATACAATTTCAAATGTGTCTTATTAATACTTGAAGAACTATAAAAAAAAACATTGATTTAAGATATCTGTAATGAGATAGTTTTGCTTACGTCTTTATGATGAGTCACTGACTTGTATATTGTGTTTAAAATCTTTCCTGGCATTGTGTAAGTACTAACTCTGAAAAAAATATAATAATCTGTATTTATAACAAGACTCTTACCTGCCAGAAAACCTCTGAAAAATTAAAGAAATCTTTATTTAGAAATATTCAACCTTTTCACAGAACCTTTGACATACAGCTGCTATGGTATATATACTCTTTATTCGACCAGTCTTTTCTTAGATGGAATTTTTATGTTAACGTCATTAGGTATCTAGTCATAGAGCTACATTGAGTGGTTCAGAATAATGTTCTTAGTGAAGTTTGAAATACTGTAGAAAGGAGATAACTATTATCTTTATATCATCATGACTTATGCTGAGATCACTTCAGCGCTTGATATGAAAAAAAGACTTCTGTAGCATACGTTTGCTTTGAATGCGACATTGGCAGAAATTATAAAACATAAAAATTCTCTTACTTTGTTCTTCTGTGACTTGTGACTTCTGATACAACGTACCACACCGAAATTACTACGTCGTTAAGTAAAATGGAACGTCATAATAGAAAGACGTCACAGTAGCATGTATGTTTAACCTTCAACGTTTGAACATTAGGGTAAAACAAAATTATAAATAGTCCACGCATGCAACAGTATGTCATTACCGGATGTCGATGGAATATTATATACCTAAAGAAGAAGAAGAACATGACATTGATTGGTTTGTTGAATATAGGTTCTAATCAGCGTTACGGAAAGACAATTTTCAGAGGGGCTTGGGTTTTTTTAAGTGAGCGTTAAACCAAGTAGGCTGATCTAAGTTTTACTCTCCGATCCTTGCTTTGTAATAGAGTTTGTGACAGACCTTTTTTTTCAATTGGATTTTAATCGGTGGAGTTGTGATTAGTATAATTCTATTTTATATTATTCTAAAGAAATCTGCCTGATTTTATCTTGGAAACTTGAAGCCTAGTTTTCTATGTTTGTTTCAAATTACAAGACATCTTTTATACATATTAAAATCGCGAAAACAACAGACCCTGCATGTATCAATTGGTTGTTCCAACTAACCGTAAAAAAAGAGGTATAGCCAAGATCCCAAAATTTGTTATACTCACGGGGGATCAAAATCTTAATTCTTATTTTAAAACCAAGTGAGAATTAAAGAGTAAAAATAAGGTTGTATCTAAAAGACAAGACAATATACAAAGTGTTTCCTTCTATTAGATATAGTCACATGATTCGAATGAAATTCCTGTTAACTTTTGTTTTTATTATACGTAAAGGACTTCAATCTAATTAAAAAAGAAATATCTGTTTTCGTTAACCTCATAAGACGACGAGTAAGCGAGTTACGATAGATTTGAATTTTAAACAGATAATGATTGAAAGGACTTGAATTGAGGCGTTGTTTGGATTTTAGAATTTTGTCCTCTTTGTTAAGTAGGAGTCTCATAACTTTTATAGTGTGGCAAAGGGGTTCGAAAAAATAACACCAAGGCCAAAACGAAAAAAAGACGAAAATAAAAACAACAGTTTATGAATGCACAAGACACACAACGCTATACACAGAAATCTTAAGATGTCCATTTGACAATCAATACTCTTAATACTAAATGTTGAATGAATTCGACAGCTATGACGGAAAAATCAAACATCAAATACACTTAAAGACAGCAACAACTTTAACATCAACTTTGGCAAAACTCTGTGGAAACAACATCAAATAACTAAACAAACGAAAACAGTAAAACACAACACAACATAGAAATTTGAGTTGAAGAAATAAATCTAAAAATATCAATATCAAATCACTGAATAAACTAGAATTACTAAGACAACAACAGCATCATTCTACAAACAGAAAAAAAACAAAATTAGAGACAACACATAAAATGGCAACAATATCAAATTACTAAATAGACAAAAGTACGGAGACAACAACATCAAATAACTAAATAGACAAAAACACGGAGACAGCAACAATGTCAAATTACCAAATAGACAAAAATACGGAGACACCAACAACATAAAATTACCAAATAGACAAAAATACGGAGACAACAACAACATCAAATTACCGAAAAGACGAAAAATACGGAGACACCGACTACATCAAATTACCAAATAGATAAAAATACGGAGAAAACAACAACATCAAATTACCAAATAGACAAAAATACGGAGACAACAACATCAAATTACTTAATAGACAAAAAAACAAACAGAGACAACAACATTAAATTACCAAATAGACAAAAAAATACGGAGACAACAACAACATGAAATTACCGAATAGACGAAAATACGGAGACACCAACAACATTAAATTACCAAATAGACAAAAATACGGAGACAACAACAACATCAAATTACCAAATAAACAAAAATACGGAGACAACAACATCAAATTACTTAATAGACAAAAAAAAACAGAGACAACAACATTAAATTACCAAATAGACAAAAATACGGAGACAACAACATGAAATTACCGAATAGACGAAAATACGGAGACACCAACAACATTAAATTACCAAATAGACAAAAATACGGAGACAACAACAACATCAAATTACCGAATAGACAAAAATACGGAGACAATAACATCAAATTACCAAATAGACAAAAATAAGGAGACAACAACAACATCAAATTACCAAATAGACAAAAATACGGAGACAACAACAACATCAAATTACCAAATAGACAAAAATACGGAGACAACAACATCAAATTACCAAATAGACAAAAATGAGGAGACAACAACATCAAATTACTAAATAGACAAAAATACGGAGACAACAACAACACAAATGCGCCTGTTGTTTCGTCAAGTTTTTTATTTTTTTTTCAATTTTCATACCATTCGTGTCACAATTTTTGTAATCGATAAATCGTAATGGTCGCCTAGCTTCGTACCCAGTAATTTCACGCAGAAAATCGCCAAATTTAGTAACCTGATTTTCGTTGTTGACAATGAGACTTAAAGTCCAAGTCTATCATGCTCAGTTTTGATCCAGCCTACCTATCAATTGCAATGCGATGTGTTTTCGTCTTTAATTTGCATCCAATATTTGCTACTTGCTACTGGATGTTAAACAAGCGAACATCATTCAATCATTATAACACATCAAAAGGCGCAAATGGCTTCCCCTTCTTTGCTTGTATGTAAGACAGTTGATTGCCAACTAGAGATTTACAATAAGTGTATGACGCCGACCCCAGTCCGAATACGAGTCAGAGTAAGACAGTTTAGATGACGGGGCGATCTCAAAATAATAAAATTATTGTAAACATTGTACTTTAATCCTTATAGTATTAATTATAAAGTTGGTTTTGGCGATTGGCAAAACAATGACTACCGCAAACTTTAACCATGGCTTTAAGTGTGTGACAAGGAAGCCTCCGACGAGTTCCAATGACTTTATAACATCTCAATTCGCCAATAACATGTTCAACTGAGACTCTGCACTGATTCTGTTGAGCCTCCTACATTTTCTCATTTTTGTGTTCCGGCTTTCTAGTTATCTGCTGTCTGGTGTATGTCGTGTATGGCTGATGAAATAATTCAACCTCTTTATCTTGACGAGGATCAGGAGCCACCCACTCATGTATGAGTAATAGAGGAACCTGAACTGATACTATTTATAATGCTCTTGTAAATCTTGAAGCTGCAAGACCCCCCCCCCCAAAAAAAAAAATAATAGAAACAAAGAGTCTTTAATGCAATTGGCTCGCAGTAACCATGAAAAATATGAAACATTTATTACAGAACAGGTTCCAAAATTGTTTAAAAGCCTAGGATGTTGATTTTGATTATTTTTGCACCTGTAAAACAATTATTCAGAAAACTTCATGTCGTTTTCTTTGCCTGCATGTACAATTCTTGCCGGATTTTTATAAAAATGTATATCAAAGGTGTATATCAGGAGTGTCTCACACACTTTGAAAATCAGTGTTGATCAACTATTTTTAAAAGAGATATTGAGATACTAATTCCAAAAGTATTATCGAATTCCCTTTTAAATTATTCGTCAGTTATGAAAGGACCATTTTTTAAACTTGAAAAGGGGTTGTTTTTTATGTAATTGGTAAAAATTATTTTTTCAATTGGATTTCAATCGGTGGAGTTGTGATCAGTATAATTCTATTTTTTATTATTCTAAAGAAATCTGCCTGATTTTATCTTGTAAACTTGAAGCCTAGTTTTCTATGTTTGTTTCAAATTACAAGACATCTTTTATACATATTAAAATCGCGAAAACAACAGACCCTTATCAGACAATTATCAATTGATTGTTCCAACTAAGCGTAAAAAAAGAGGTATAGCCAAGATCCCAAAATTTGTTATACTCACGTGGGATCAAAATCTTAATTTTTATTTTTAAACCAAGTGAGAATTAAAGAGTAAAAATAATGTTGTATATGAAAGACAATATACAAAGTGTTTCCTTCTCTATTAGATATAGTCACATGATTCGAATGAAATTCCTGTTAACTTTTGTTTTTATTATACGTAAAGGACTTCAATCTAATTAAAAAAGAAATATCTGTTTTCGTTTACCTCATAAGACGACGAGTAAGCGAGTTACGATAGATTTGAATTTTAAACAGATAATGATTGAAAGGACTTGAATTGAGGCGTTGTTTGGATTTTAGAATTTTGTCCTCTTTGTTAAGTAGGAGTCTCATAACTTTTATAGCGTGAGAAAGGGGTTCGAAAAAATAACACCAAGGCCAAAACGAAAAAAAGACGTAAATAAAAACAACAGTTCATGAATACACAAGACAAACAACGCTATACACAGAAATCTTAAGATGTCCATTTGACAATCAATACTCTTAATACTAAATGTTGAATGAATTTGACAGTTATGACGGAAATATCAAACATCAAATACACTTAAAAACAGCAACAACTTTAACATCAACTTTGGCAAAACTCTGTGGAAACAACATCAAATAACTAAACAAACGAAAACAGTAAAACACAACACAACATAGAAATTTTGAATTGAAGAAACAAATCTCAAAATATCAACATCAAATCACTGAATAAACTAGTATTACTTAGACAACAAAAGCATCATTCTACAAAACAAAAACAAATTAGAGACAACAAATACAATAGCAACAATATCAAATTACTCAATAGACAAAAATACGGAGACAACAACATCAAATAACTAAATAGACAAAGACACGGAGACAACAACAATGTCAAATTACCAAATAGACAAAAATACGAAGACGCCAACAACATCAAATTACTAAATAGACAAAAATACGGAGACAACAACAACATCAAATTACCAAATAGACAAAAATACCGAGACACCAACAACATCAAATTATCAAATAGACAAAAATACGGAGACAACAACAACATCAAATTACTAAATAGACAAAAATACGGAGACAACAACAACATCAAATTACCAAATAGACCAAGACACCATCAACATCAAATTACCAAATAGACAAAAATACGGAGACACCAATAACATCAAATTTCCAAATAGACAAAAATA